GCTTACACAAAGTCAATCTTAAATATAAAAACACTTAAAAAGTATAGCCATTAAAAAGTAGATTATTGACAAAATTTAATGTAAGTAATATAAGTATCAAAAAGAGATATTTATGATTACTAATAAAGAAATTATACATATTAGAAAGGCAAATTAAAACTATTAATAATTATCTAAAAATAAACCAAAATTGAGTGCAATTAAAAACCCTGGGCTGGAGCTTAGAGTCTTATGTTTAGCCTCAAACTAATTGCTATTTAAATTGAAACCCAAAACTCCCGTTGAGCTCTAACTTAAGCCCGCATTGGAGGTGTGATTTTGAGCTTTTCGTCGGAAGCTGAGATGGCCAAGAGCGTGACCTATACGCTCATTAATTCCGTTGCTGCAGGCGCTGATTTGTTCATCATTACGAGCTGGGAATGGCGCGTGGATGGCCAGATAGAAAGTGGCAGGAAGCCATTAGCATGGGAAGTTGTTAGACAGGCAAAAAGCCAACAAACGAAGAGGTTGGCCTGAATATAAATGAAATAATCAAAACACATATATGGCGCAATGCCGTTTAATCACCAGAATGCCGCATACCAAACGAAAACTTTCTGTGCCAACGATTCAGAACTTTCCAACTAAACACATACACAGAGAATAATACAATAAAAAACAAGAAAAACAGAACGAGAATGTCGGAGAAATGTTTACAGTAAGTTGTCAAAGCCAGCGACAGACACGTAAAAATTACATAAAAATAAGCAGGAATATAGCTAGAACCAGTCACCAACTTGGTCTAGACATTTTCGAGACGCCTAAACAATCACTTGCCACACACAGGAAATTAACTAGAAAAATGTGTACCAAAACTGAGAGTACGGCTTATTATAAAATAGCCAGCGTACATACCTTAAGATCATTTTGTCGACGTTGCACGTTGCCACTTGGCCGTTGGCCGTCGTTGTTAATGACTTCTCTAAATGCGTTGGGTATACAGTCGCAAGCTCTGTTTATATTTGGTTGGCGAATACTTAAAGCCCAAGAGCTGTGAATTAATCCAATTATGGCAGACGATGGCCCACGCCAAGTTGGCCTTAATTAACAACGGACTGGCGTACAGTTCACCGAGTTCGTTGCCAGAGTCTTTCGATCGGTGCCAGAATTAAGCACTATTGAGCACTTGTCGCTGCTGCGGGTAACTTTTACTTGCGGGCTTCACCCTTTTGTCACTAATCTTTACTTCTCTTCCAATGCACTTCGTTTCCTGCACACTCACTCACTCACACGAAAAGAGCCCCGTCAGCGCCTAAAAAGTCGATTTCGTCCGCCTGCACAACCGCCACCGAGTGTGTCCCACAATTAACTGAGCTCTGCCAGCCGATGCTGCCACAGAAAAGCCAAAAAAGAAGCCAACAAACGTTGCCGGCCCGCCGTCGACGTCGGCGTCCGTGGAGTGTGGAGGAGCGATAGCAGTCAGCAGACTTCGGTTATCAGCTGCCAAGTGCCGGCGGCAGCAGCGACAAAAAAAAATATTTACAGACGCCCCAAGCCCGACTCGTTTTTGAGTGAAAGTTTGAGTGGAATCGAGTTGGGTTGCGTGTGAGGTGAATGGATTGATACTGTGGTGGATTGTGTAGTGTGCAGTTCGTGTCTTAAGTCTTTCGATTTCGATATTAGATTTAGCTGTGTGTAAAGTTATTATAAAACAATATTTATAAGCGGTAAAATTATTATATTATATTATTAAGTGCTGCCTTGTAAAGTGCAGTTTTTGAGTTTAATATAAAATATGTTTTGCGTACAAAATAGTTTAACTTGTTTTGTTCTTATTCTTGCAATCTTTTAATTTGTAACAATGAGGAGTCGACAGTATTGATAACCACACATTTAGCAATGGGACTTTCTGAATTGCTTTATGCCATAAAACCCTTGTTTTGCTGATTTTTTTAAAGTGATTTCCAGTCTAATGAATGACATTTCAAAATCGCCATTGGTAAGAAAATAAATTATTTAAGTGATTTAAAATGCAATCAAATATTCAAAATACAATTTATGGTCGATGGCAAGATTTAGAAAAAAGGTGAGAAAGTTCAAGGTTTGTATTGTATTACATTATAAATACAACTTATTTATGAGGCTTGACAGCTTTTAGAACTCAACTAATGATTTACAATCACAATTTCTGATATGTTTTTATTATTACTCTGTAAATTTCTTAGGACTCAGATAGTGAAATCAAACGGTTCAGAACAACAAAGCTCTTAAAATATATGGCTAATGATAATATGACATCGTGATAGCCCTGTTAAAAGTATTTAAATCTTTTATGAATACAGATTGTATTTTAAATAAACAAAAACCATTTAATTAACTACTGTGAATAGCTCTTAATTTATGACTATCTTGATTTTAAACTCTTAAGCCTAATGCACCACTAACAGCTCCAAAGTAAAAACAAATTTCTCCTCCATTAGGCAAAGACTCAATAATTGTTTAGTGACGGCTGAGCCCCACAAAACAACTCCTACACCGCTATCTGTGATCTTCCATGCTCATGTAAAAATAAAATCTCAATCTGCAGTCGTTTCTTTTTCTACACGTACTTATTCAATTTGCCAAACGGAGCTGCACCTTCGGCAGACCAATCTTTTACAGCTTTGGCGAAACTGCGGCATATCACTACTAGCCAATTAATTTAATTTGTCAAACCGCACACACAAATCAGGCAGGCCTTCAGCATAAGTCAAAATTGGGAGGGAGTATACAATAAAGTAATGCAAAGGAGTCTAATCGTAATAAACGTAAACCAGAAAACGTCAAAATGCAGGGCAGTTGATATTAATTTCGCCTAAGCACCGCGAATGGAGTTTTCTTGTGGTTAATTTGGCTTTGAGTTGAGTCCGTATCGATTTTTTGGCCTTTGGCTTTGGGCTTTGTTGCATTTGACAATTGCTTTGCATGGAAATGAAAACGCACGAATATTGTGCAACATTTTTGGACCGGAGTAGCAGCAAAAAACAAGATCAGTATTAACAATGTACCACGCATTTTTTGAAAAGTTGTCCGTGCCACGTTTTTGTTCTTTTATTTAACTCAATTTTTGTTCGGGGTTGACGTTGTCGCATGAGCATTAAATGCCGAAATTTTGTATTATCGACCCGGTTTGACTGCGTCGAGTCTGGCTGACTCCTTTTTCTCTATTTAATCTCGCTTGTTAATTTTTTTTTTGCTCGGCTTTTTGCTTTTTAAACATGCTATTAATTTTTAATGGCGTGTGACATTTTTGTTTACGCACAGCCTCAATGTAGAGCAAAACATTAGCATGTCTGCGGTATTAGTTTACCATTTTTCTTGCTGCCATTGAGCCATTTGACGGAGTCTTAATTGATATTTATCGCTGGACGATTGCCATGTTCATCATAATAGAGTCGTGTAGCCGACAAAAAGCTCATTACTTTGCCTGGCTGGCGTTTGAATGGTAAAACGCGCCTACAATTTGGCCATTTGATTAGCCTCACCTCGTCATGGTCGTCAGGCCCCAAATGGCCGATCCAATCCGGCACATAAAATCCAATTTAATTAAGTTAGACTCTCGGATTGAGACGCAGTCGGAGGATCGGATCTAAGACTGAGACTGAGACTGAGATTGAGGCCCACAACAGCAGCTGCCGTGGCAGACAACCTTGCCGGCATTCTTAACGTGTACAAGATTTTTACCAACGCACTGCTTTTAGGTTTGTTGTTGTCGCGTTCACTTTTCAAATGCTTACGAAATGTCAATATTCGGCACAAAGTTATTTGTTATTTGATCGAATCGATTGAGCAATTGCTGATATACAATTTTTCTGTGTTCGTATTCCTTTTTACGATTTGTTCTTTCTGTCTAACGGTTTCTCATTGATTTGTTAGCTAATTGTGTACGAAAAATGTAATTAAAATTAAAACGAGTAACTGGAAACCCGCAACGCTTGCATGTCAGCTTGACAAACGAAAAATAAGTAAATAAAAAGTGTTAACACCCAGATCGCACAGCTGGCGACACATTGCGAGTGTGAGTCACGATTGCATAGGAGTAGAGTTACTCTAAGAACTAATAAAAATCGACTCAAAATTTAAATTTTTTAGATGATTATATATATATTTTTGAAGTGCATTTATTCACATATAAGTGATACACCCAAATTGGTTCACACACTTTACTTTCTAAACCGACAAATGAATTTTACATAATTTCATTAAATGTTGCCACCATGACATTTCATTTTTACCATTTTTTCAAAAATATTGCCCAAAGCTCAATTGGGCTTGCGATTTCCTAGACAAGCATAAGCCTAATTTGCTTTCATTGTTGTGGGTAATAAACAGACCCTGAGCTATATATGGCAAGGTTAACTATTATTTATGATCGCTATCACTTGCAAAAGCCAATATTTCGAAGCCCGTTTTCGCAAACACCCGACTTCCTGGCAACACCAACGATGGGTGTCTCTTTTTGCCTAGCTAATAGCTGCCTTAATCAAGTCTTCTATATGCCAATTAAAATGAGCGCCGCAAGCAATGTTAGTTAAACTATAACTTTTTGAAAACGGGGCTTCTGTGTTAGCCAGCCATTCATGTATTATGCATAAATTGCTTTTAGGAGTTGGCCGAATAAGCAAGGAATAGTAAATCTATCAAAATCTATGGTTTTTGTTTTGACTTGGTAAAGTCAGGTTACTTTCGAAATGCGTATTACAATTAATTTTTTAATGTAATAACTAGGTGAAAGGTTGATGAACGATTTAATTTGAATGGGTTCATAAAACTCTGATTCACTAACTGCTAAATTCTGAAATAACGCAATCTGGATCATTAAGAGATACTTAAAATTAAATCTTTCTTAAGTTCATTTATGACATCACTGTCGTTATCAAGATTATCTGTTTAAAATTTTAAATAATGCTACAATGCGTTTCTAATTTTTTTTGAGAACTCCGAGTGTTTTGATATAAAAGTATTCACTTTTTTGAAGGAAGTTACCAGTTGTTTTCCATTTAGCAATCGAGCACCTAATCAGAAGTTCAGTTTTTAGTAAATAAAATGACATTCCGCTATGTTTTCGTGATCAGTGCCCTGATTGTCCTGGCTCAAGGGTCGAATTTGCCATCTGTGGAGCACGAGTCGGTGGCTGGAGTCCATCACTCTGGAGTGGTTTCGTCTGGAGCTCCAGTGGTGGGCGTTCCACGTGGCCATTCGGTTGCTCCACAACCCCAACGTCCCGCCTCCGGTCATGGATCAATTTCTGGTCCAGTTGGAGGATCACGTCGATTGAGCGGGGCTGGAGTTTCTGGATCCCGTCTTCATGGAGCTGTTCGACGTCCTTCTGCTGGAGCTCATGGTCGTCCACTTGGAGGTGCAGCTGGCCACGGAAACGCTCACCAGAATCGCAATCGCAAGCCCTATTAGGACTAACCATACACCTTCAGTACACGATAAAATTTATTACTACTTTAGCCTTTATTGTACTTCTTTTAAATGATTTTCACTTACCCATCTACTGCAAATAATAACAATTGTTATAGAAAAAAACATTTAAAACGTGTAATACTTATTTTATAATGGTGGGGAGGCATCAAATATTGTGATAAAAATCATCAACAAACTCAACGATTCACAGTTTATTGCCATTAGATAATTCTTAACACCAATCGCACTTTTAATGAACTGGTTAATGCAGCAATTAAAGCATTAGCGACAAGCTAAGAAACCCAACCCAGATCACTTCATGGCTTAAACATTGTTGGTAGTTATTGGCCCAAAGCGATTGTTAAATAAGACTGTAAAATCTGAAAGTGAAGTGACAAACTCACCAGTCATTTTAAGTCTCGTTATCTAGTCTCGATGTTTTGTATTTAAAATTTGTTGTCGATTACTTATTTCGCTTATATTTTATAAAACATCTGATAATGACGATATCTTAATTATTATATTACTTTTAAAAAAAATAAATTTAAAATTCGTGGTGTAAAGAAATAAAACTACATATTGATACCCATATTGATTAATTTGAAATTTTTGTAATTTCACATAATTTGACGAATAAACAAAAAGTTAAATATTTTATACTTAAAATCACTTTCCTCTTAAAGTCTTTAACATTATTTATAATTATGAAAAAAGGTTTTTTAAGTTTAGATAAATGGTTTTTGATTAGCAGTTTAACCTTTTTTAATAAATGAAATTCCCTTTTAAAACTATAAATGTTAAGTAATAGTTAATTACACGTTTAATTTGGCAAGTGCGTTTTATTGAATGAACAAATCTGACATGTCTCAGGAAAAGTGAGGTGTCTCATTTTACTATTTCATTTAGTAAGGTTTCTGGACGCGATTGCGACTCTGGGCATGGCCAACTCCTCCGCCAATGGGACGACCAACGTTGACAATAACAGCTGGTCGAGAATGAGATCCTGCCTGGCGACGAGCAGAAGCAGCAACGAGACGAGGAGCTGCCACAGGACGAGGGGCAATCACAGGACGAGGAGCAGACACGGGACGTGGAGCTGAAGGTTGCGCCTGCGATCCGGGGGCAGGTCGCACTTCGGGAAAACTAATTGCAGCTCCCGACGCAACACCTCCGGCAGAATGGGCTTCCACGGGAGACTCCGGCTCCACTGGCGAAATATGCGATCCCTGGGCAAGGACGACCAGGACACTGAGGACAACTACGCAACGGGATGACATATTTATTTCTGTTTTTTTAGAAGGTAACTGAGATGAATTTTTAGATGTTTGTTAGACAACTGATGGAAACTTCGGAATATGCTTGCTTTTTTATAAGCCATAGAATTAACTTAAAGAAAATAAAGATGGCAACCAATTTTCAATTACATTTTTATAGCTCTAATTTAATTACTTAAGGGTAATCGCTGACCTGAAAGCGTAATAAATAACATTTTTACTGGAGTTTCCACTCTGATCCAGATTTCTTAAATTAAGTACTCCGAACTTCACTTACTTTGAAATGCAGTTCATTTCACTCATCAACATGCTATTATAATTTATGAAGGTTAAGTATAGACGATTTTTATTGCAAGCATTTGAATTATTTTTAAGTTTAACAAAACTATTTATTTACATAAGATATCTAAATTTATGTAACATTTATTTATTATTTAAGAAATGATAATCTTACATTTTTTGGAAGAAACTCTGGGCAGTGCAAAAAATATGTTTAGAATTTTTTTATTACGTCGAAATACTTATAGTAATAGGTTACATTTTTGTAGTCATTGCCCATGCATTTTTCCTGCCTTTGCATCAATTTAGCTTCACATCATATTTTGTTCATGTGTCTATTGGGACTATCAGATCAAGAAGATGATCTACTATTCATAAACAGAACTTGATGATAAGTCGAAGTGGAACTGAAAACTATTAAAACTTTACCAAAAAAATGTTTTCTATCAACACCTAGAAATAAATGGAACTAAAGTGAACTACACCATTTCAAATCGTTAAATGTCTACTTTTCAGACTCCATATTCAAAATATGCAGAAGGCATAAAAAATCTACAAAAAATTACATTTTAGTAGCCAAATTTTTATTCTAAGCCTTTGGAAACAAGTTTCACAATGACGTGAAAACTTTCGAGAAAAAGCCTGAGCACATTTTTTTTTTTATTGCATATATATTGCATATACAGTTTTACTGCCTTCTCATCATAAAATTAACAAATTTTACTGCTTCCGTTATCCAAAAACTTTTACCCATGGGTTCGTATTAGGTTAGGCTTCGATTCCTACAAGTGTAACAAGAAGAAGAGCCAACGTTCCCAAACAGAGCTTCATGATGAATCGTGGTGGTACTGGTTCCGTCTAATTTTAATATGCATAATATATCTGGTCTATATTGACAACATTTTTGTCTGTCTGTTCGTCTTTCGTAGACTGATTTTGTAGGGCGCTGCGCTTTGGCTTTATTACCATGCAACGTGGCGTATGGGTAACGTGTCAAAATAAATTTCAAAGGCGTCTTGTTCCCGACCCGCGTGACATAAAATTTATACATTGCTTTTTATATACTCTCTATTGATAACGGCAGATTGACATTCCGTTTCGACTAGTAGTTATACACTTCGCTAATCCATTAAAAATTTAATATTGTTGTTAATAAACACTGTTATAGTTGCAGGATTTAATATCCATTATTACATAAAAAAAGTAAATATATTTAATATTTCTTTTTTTATTACCACTACTCAAATGACAAAAACAAAATGTTGGCATACAAATTTTCTTTCCATTTTTGGGCTTAGAGGGTTTACAATATGGGGTTATAATAAGCTTGTATTTTTGTTTTGACTTTGTTATCGTTACTATAATTGAGTCAGTTTGGTGATTGACATCTTAGTAGGGTTTCTGGCCGTGATGACGGATCTGATGGACATTGCCGTGTCCAGATCCAACAACAATTGGGGCAGCTACTCCATTGGGATGGCGGATGGGAACCGTAGGACCAACAACCACTCGGGGAGCAGGAATGACTACGGTAGCGGGACGAACGTAGGATACCGGTGCCGGACGAAGGGGAACAGCCACATAAGGACGAGGTCCGACCAATCCTGATCCGATCACACGATGAGGTCCTCCAAGCGGAACCGGCACAGGACCATGACTATAGCTTGGACGCTGGGGCTGGTGAACAGACGGATGTCCTTGGGAAACGACGACAACTGGAGCTCCTGACGACACGACGCTAGAGTGCACTGCCACCTCCGCTTCTTGTTCGATTGGCAAAACATTTGATCCTTGAGCCAGGACAATTATGGCGCTGAAGAAAACAATGCAGCGGGATGCCATTTTGCTTGGGTTACTTGGAGTTAAACTGATACTTCTAATGTGGAATATGAACGCTTTTATAGTCAACCTGGAAAATATGCAAATCTGAAGTTGAAATATCAAAGCACTTAATAAATTATTATTATATATTATGTATATTATGTGTCAGAGAACTTTTTAACTTGACCCTGCTGCTTAGGAACTTCGACCTCTGAACTTTTTTAAAAACCAACCTAAGTTCACTGATCTTATTATCTCTTTCTAAGTAAATTGTTTACATTTCAGCGAACCAAAAATGAACTGAATATTCCTGTATGCTTAGTTTTAAGATATATATTATTTAATGCTTATTTTTAAGGTATTTTGTTTTACTTTACTTTACCATAATTCTGTGCAATATTTTCTAGATAATCCATGCAAAATATACTCGTTTAAGTAATAATAATTTAAAAATATATTTTTATAAATGCAGATAAATTGCTAAACAGTAAAAAGGCTTTTCCCCTGTTTCATGCCTCTTTTATTTTAAACTTGAGTTCTGGTTAATCAATAACGGTTATAAAGGATATACAAAATCGAGCTACTATCTGTCAGCATTGTTAGAGTTCTATCTTCAATTAAAAGCAGTGGTCAAACATACTGCAACATGCTCACGCGTTTTTCTGTGAGTATGGGAGCTATATGCTATAGTCGTCCGATAAAACTGAGAGACTAGTTTGCGTAGAAACGGACGGACAAGCAGGCGGACGGAAAGGCGGACATGGCTAGATCGACTTTCCTAGTGATGATGATCAAGAATATATACTTTATAGGGTCGGAAATGTCTCCTTTACTGCGTTGCAAACTTCTGAGTGAAATTATAATACCCTCTGCAAGGGGAGACAAACAAACGTTTCTATACAATTTCAGAAAGTTTACCTTCCACAAAATAAAACAAGCTTCAGTTTGTGTAGAGTTTTGTAAATCTAGTGGTGTAAATGATGTTAAAGCTTATTGATTTGATACTAGAACATTAAAATTTTATTTTATATCATTTTGATGACTCACTTGTTTCATAAAAAACGTGACAAAAAGATGTAGAAGATTTAGTCAAATTAAATGTATAGTACCCAATCCTTTATAATATTAGCAGTAATTACATCACATTACAAGAACAAAATTACTCCGTAAAATGAGCATTTTTGATACCTTAATTTTATCATACTTATTCCGATTAAATAAGTTTTTTTAAGATCTTTAAAGTTTTTTATATTACGACCTGGTAAAGGTTAATTTGTTTTACAGAGAAGGATAAAAACAATATCTTTACAATTGTTTTGTATTGTATAATCTTTGCTGAAAGGCATAGTTCGGTATATCATTTAAAGCAAATACTATTTCAACTTAATTTCGGGATCTAGGGATATATGTCTATTTTGTCTCTTAACTTTGGTATTCCTTTCATACCTCTATTAGGATAAGAGCTGCTAGGAACTGTTCGAAAGAACTGTACTGTTTCATAACAAAATATTATATTTTGAAAATATCATTTTCACCCAATAACAAATAAGTAAAAACTCATACATTTTTTTAGAACAATTTTTATTATTTGCAGAATTTGGTAAGGTTAGTAAGAGGAATTAGTAGAATGGACAAATTTCTCCAGATCAGTAAATGGTAGATTTAAGGAGTTTATTAATAAGGTTTCTGGTTGCGGTTGCGGTTCTGGTGAGCGTTTCCGTAGCCTACTGCACCTCCAAGTGGACGACCATGAGCTCCAGCAGAAGGCCGACGAGGGGCACTACCATGAGAACGAGGTCCGGCCACTCCAGCTCCGCTCAATCGACGGGATCCACCTACTGGACCAGAGAGGGACCCATGACCGCTGGCAGGACGATGGGGCTGGGGAGCAGCCGAATGGCCACGTGGAACACCCGCCACTGGAGCTCCAGCTGAAACCACTCCAGAGTGATGGACTCCCACAAGACCCTCCTGTTCGACTGGAGAAATTATTGATCCTTGGGCCAGGACGAGTGTGGCAATAAAGACAAAAATGAAACGGAATGCCATTTTAATTTGGTTGTTTTGGATTATTGCTCGTGAGACAACTGATGATTTCTATTGAAAAGTCAAAACATTTATATAGCGTGAGCTCAAATACAATTCGAGCTAGTAAATCACATAATTTATTATTTTAAGCTAATTGTTGTCAAAAGTGCGGTATCTCGTGTGACTCACAAAACTTAAACGACAAGCTGCAATTTAATTGGCACTTTCAACTCTCGTGCAGGTCATGTAAGCCTCTATGACCTTAAAACTCTTGCTAATAACCTTTCAAGAATGTAATTAAAAATCGTTTTTTTTTTCGATTGTATAATAAAATTTAACTTATAGAAGTCGAAGATTTATATAAGAAAATTACTTCCACAGCCAAATCACACGATATTGAAAGTATACTTTATCAATAGATTCTAGATCTAGAACACGAACAGAAAGCTTCACGTTTTCAAATAATGTTTTTATTTTCAACAATGTGGTAAAGTGCATTTATTTGGCTTTTGATATTTCTTTCCAAAAAAATTAGTATTTTTTTTAATATTTAATATATTTCTAAAGAATTTCTGAACATGAATCCGCTCATTTATTTTTGAGGTCCAAAAATAATCGATTTCGTAATAATGCATTGTGCTTATAAGATATTAAAAACAAACATTAAATATCAAAAGTTTAAGACTTAAAATCAAAATATTTCTGTCAATTTATATTAAATGCTGAAATCTTTTTAAAAACAGGTAAAACACAATTAATATAAGTTTTATGAAGCAACTGCGGTTACATTAATCTAATCATCACAGGTAGTAAATCCTACCATCACAGGTAGTATTTATTCATTGATTGCTAAAAATTTCCGTTAAAGTATTGGAATGCCATGTTTTTAAGAGACTCTGTTAAGCCGAAGACTGGTATTTAGACTTGTCCCCTCACTTATTGATATATTAATTGGAACACCTGATATGGATTGCCTTGTAAATTTTCTACAAGCTATAAGCTCCAGTTAACTTTACATGAAACCAAAGACTCCAAACCTATCGTAGATGCAATATTTTCCAAATGGATATAAAATGTAGTGGGTGTGTACCATTCATTTATTGTGTATTTTAGAAATTTGCTATTGTTTTAATTATGTATAAGAAATGGACTGCAGGTTATTCATTGACTCGATTCGGGCGTCTTGGCTCTGTTTCTAGCCGTGATGGGGATTGCGGTGCACATTGCCATGAGCGGCTCCAACGTAAACTGGGGCAGCCACTCCATGTGGCTGGCGAATGGGAGCCACTGGGGCAACCACTACGGCTGGGACGACTACGGCGGCAGGACGAGCATTGGATACAGGAACAGGACGAAGAGGAGCAGCCGCATAGGGACGAGAACCTCCCAGTCCGATTCCGCGATGGGGTCCTACAACTGGAACAGGAAGAGGGCCATGGGACACTGACGGATATCCTTGCGAAACGACGGCAACAGGAGCTCCAGACGCCACCACTCCCGAATGGACTGCCACCTCCGCTTCCTGCTCGATGGGCAGTATGTTTGATCCTTGAGCCAGGACGATGATGGCGCTGAGGACAACAATGATGCGGGATGCCATTTTGCTTTGCTTGTTCGTGATGATTGTTTGTGAATCAACTGATGCTTTCTAGTGAGAACTTAAGGCTTTTATACTCGAGAACCTCAAACAGAGTCTAAATTTTTAAAGCAAGTAATTCATCATTTTAAAGTAATTGCTGTAAGAGAGTGATGTCATTTATTGTTCATCTAATTTAAATTTGACCCAGTTTATTGCATTTGCAAGTTCTTTGTACTTTGCTAAAGTAAAGTAATAATTCTTAACATTATTTTTTTTGGATCAAACATTATTAGAATATCTCTTCATTATTAATTTTCTTCCATATTATTTAATTCGGAATTAACATCGAAATAAATTAATTAATCAAATTGTAATTATAAATTAGAAAATTTAATATCGATAAACTAAATGTACGAGAATTTTAAATGGGTTACTCTTAGCATTTTTTTTGATTAACCGTTTTAAAACTGCTTAAACCTAATAACTAGGTCTGTGATGACATAATATTAGGTAAAGTAACTGCTAAACTTTTATAATAAAAGTCCCACTTATTTTTATTTTGTTTTTTTGTTCTTACTCACTGTTACTTTAAACATGAATTGTCAAAATAGTTTTCTTATAGAAAGACTTTTAACTATTCCACAAACTTAATTTTTTATTGTAAACATCAAGTTAAAAATTATGCAGAGGCCTAAATTATTTAGAACGAGTCCTAAATGAAAGCACTTTTCTAAAAATATTACCAATGTAGTACTTTTCAATCAACAATTTTTTTTGATGACTAAATGAATCGCATTATATGTAGATATTGGTTTGTCATTATATAACGTTAAAAAAGTTGCCATCTTTTAATAAATACTATAAAGACTAATAATTGCCACTTAAGCATACTTGTACATCAGCTTTTATTAGCATTGGAAAATAAAATATTTTCTTTAAAGCATTAGGAAAACAAATTAATTTTAAATAACCTTTTCTATTCATGGTTTGTAAAAACATAACCCGAAATATTTTATGGGTCACATGCAAGTGTACTACATGCCATTGTAATACTTCAATATACAAAGACAAGCAACGTATGCTTATTATTAAAGTGCTTTAAATGATTTAATAGCACATTTATAAACATAATTCATATTTATGGGCAATCCTTCCTTCTTTCTGGCTTCTGAAATAAATTTCTTAATTTTTTTCTGAAAGTGCATACATTAATACATTAATTTAAGTTTTCAATTTACCTTTGTATATAAAAACAAAATCATTTACGTTTTAAATTCATCTCTATTTTTCTTTTTTAATATAACATTTTAATTATTTAACCAAGACCCAAAAAATATATATCCCACTTACTGCTACATTTTCATTATTTAAAAGACAATAAAATATCATTTCGGTAGAGATTTATTTACATTGAGTTATTTACGCAAACAAAAATTACTTCATGGTGTATATTGTCAGAGGATCAGCTATTTTCTGTTAAGGTTTAAGGTCTGCCAGATGGGTTAGTGGGATCTGTGAGCTCTTGGCAGTTGGTGGCATTCATGCTGGCTGATGTGCCTCAGAACTGGAATAAAAGAATTAAATTAGACATCGTTCTTAATTTGTATGAAATCAAGTCTTACGTGGCTTCAGCTCATTGCGACGCAGGCAGTTTAAAATGGCCAATTCGCAGTGGTTTTCCACTTTATGGCAGAGGTGTCCATCGGTGGCATAGGTTGGGCTGTGGGTGCTGGGACAGTGGATGGCATGGCAGTTGCGATGATGGTGGACGTGATGAACTCCATGAGCCCCATGAATCCCGTGATGTGGAGCCTCCAGATGATGATGGTGGTGATGTGGGGCTCCATGAACAAGATGGTGCGACTCAGACAAGTGATGATGATGGTGAGACTCAGAGAGGTGATGATGTGATTCCAGGTGATGATGGGGTCCGTGCTCATGATGATGGGACTGAGCCTGGTAGTGATGTCCTTGTCCTCCGTGATGATGATGACCCTCTTCCGCAGACAAGGGCTCATGGTGGTGCGAGTGAGGCACCACAGCGTCCTCAGCGGGAAGATATCCTTCCTGGGGAGCCTCCGCTTCAGCCCCAACAATATCCGCCTGGTGGGCTTCACTTAGAGATCCGTGGAGAAATGAGCATTGGGCAATGACTAAGAAGACGCTGAACACAACAACTAAACGCAAAGCCATATTTGCTTAGGTAAATTACAATTATTTGCTTCGTAACTCGAGAGGCAACTGATGCTAATTCACAGGAACCTTTACAGTTTTATACTCAAGAAGCAGTAGAAGCCCCAATGTTAAGCAATGTTTTTAACTTAATAAGAACCCCATTTCAATTATAAATTAATTAAAAGATAAGCACTGCAATGGCATCTGTGGTAAGCATCTAATTAAAAAATCTAAATTCACTAAGACAAGCAATAAATCTTAAACTATATGGTATATGCAGGCTAGGAACGTTCAACTTGAGCGTTCCATTTATCCAGTTATTTACAGCACCTAGAGCTCCAAACTCTGAACCCTCCTGTATGTCAACCCGAGTTTACTGAACCTATACACGCATTTTTACGAAAGCAAAACGGGTTTACTATTTAATCTGCAAGAATTATCATTTAAGAAAAGAAAACATGTTAGCCGAAATGTGCACTTACACCTGTATTTAGAATTCTAAGCTGGTACAGAAATTTTTTTCCTTTTGCTTACTGCATTGACTTAAATCACAACAATCATTCTTATTTGGCTTATATTTCACTTAGTTCTATCATTATTTTATATTTCTACACCTCCTATTTATAAGATTAAATGACCTTAAAGCCAGAACGAATGACAGAAAAATAATATTAAAAACTTGTTTTTTTAGATATTTATTTGTTATATAGTATTATCAAATAAATTAAGAGAATAATACAAAAGCGGTGCTAAGTTAGTTTTTTCAAAACAAAAGAGTGTTCCAAAATAATTTACACAAGTGCTTTAAATGTAATATTTATTTAGAGCTAAGAATAAAGCATTAAAAGCAGAAAATCCGTCAAACTGGTCCGAACTACGCAGAGTTTTTCGCTTATAAATATATGTATACATATAGGAGAACCAAATGGCTTACTCAATTTCTCTTAACATATATCTTTTTATAATTGTGAACACAGGTGTGTGGATAGTATGCACAGCATATGGACACACGACGCACTTTGAGTATTTTTTTTAATATTTCGCGATGTTTATTAACCAATGTGCTAAATTATTGAAAACAAAAAGAAATCAAGAAGATATTTATTTGCATTTCATTTCCATTACATAAGCTCATTTATATTCATATTGTTTACTCTCCCCAATTAATCATTACTTTAAAGTATGCATGCAGAACAAGTCTCTACTTTTCATCTTTAATTTTTATACAAATTGCTTGATGGTTACACATGTTTGAGGTACTCGCGTGAGTTTACAAAAAAGCTGAAAGCAATTAAACAATTACTCTATGATTTTGTCAAAGTTAATTAAATTATTAGCACTTACTCTCGCCAGTGCGACATGTGTGGACCCGTTTTAAGCAGCTGTTGACGAATTCCCGGATATGCCCCTTATAATTTCCAGTTGTTGGGCTATGAATTGCCGGGCACACTTCGGGGCAATGTTTCTGGCACTCCTCTTTGGTGGTAACTGTATAGCCTTTAAAATATATATATATAAATTTTTATAAATTTCAAAAGCTAAAATAATTACAAAATTCTTACCTGGCTTGCGCACCATGTTTGCCCTAATTAGGTAACATTTATTGCGAAACACTTGGCAGCCGTCACCAAGAGTCCACACAACATCTTCCGTATCTGGACAATCGGCATTGACATAATATATGGCTAAACCAAATATTAAACATAGCGCAGTCAATGATTTCATGGCTAACAGATATAATTTTTACGTTTGAGTATTAACAACGAAGTTTGTGGTGGCACTAACTTCTTGTCTCTAACAGGATGAGCTTATATAGGGTTCTGAAGTTGTCTTTGTCAATATTGGCAGCGTGCCAGAAGCCGTTGCTTATTTTATTGTTCGGTTGATTTTCCCGATTTCACACACGCGAAACAAAACTGTATTTAATTTTGGACTGAAAATAACTCATTAATCGGATAGTCTCCAATTTGAAATGTCTAAATCGGAAAATATATTATCAAGAGTGCAGTAAATTAAATTATTAATTTGTTCATCTATTTGATAATATTTTTAATATATATTTGACAATATTTTAATCAGCAATGGCTTATCATTACATTAAACTTGTTATACTTTTAGAAACAAATATATGTATTTTTCTATATATAGGTAGTAATTAAGCTCTCAATGGGCTTACTGAACTTAACATGAGCCTTAAAAAGGTTTAAAATGTCCGGTCGCTCATAAAGCAAACTTAACTTAACGGGGATTTAAAGCTTTAACTCAAAAATGTGAATTTGAAAAAACCCAAACAAAAACTACAAAAAATATTATTTATGTTTATGTTTACCGGAAAGTGCTTTAAATTTTTAGGCTGTCTAGTAAAATTACGAATCAACTGTCTATTCGTAAAATTATTCAATCATAACTAATCATTGCATGATCAGCAGTAGCAGCAAGCATTTGAAACTTTTAAATTAATGGTACACCAGTTCTTTATATAAATAGCCAACTACTAGTTAAGTCATAGATTTTGTTTTCATTTGAGTTGTTCTTGGGTTGTTTGGCTGGATTGACTGGTTTTACAAAAACGCTGTTAAAAAAACAAATGATGTATTATTTCATTATTAGTTAAAACCAATTTGAATATAACTTACTTTCGCCTGTCCTACAAGTGTGAGCTTGCTTTTCGCACTCATTTCCAAAGGTTCGAAGCTGACCTTTGTACGATCCACTTGTCGGTTGGTAAATGGCTGGGCAAATATCGGCACATTGCGTCTGGCATTCCTCCTTAGTTGCGATGGTCAGTGCTGCATTATAAATTATTTATAATATAGTAAATTTGCATTAACTATTCAACAAAAATTCACCTGGCTTGCGATGGCAATTCTCCTTGTCGAAGTAGCATTTATTGCGGAAAACAATGCAACCGCCACCAAGAGCCCAGACAACATCCTCGGTATCGGGACAATCTCCAGAGCAGTTTGCACTGACATGACTTAAAGTCAAACCCAGAAGCAGGCAAATGAGGAGAATCGATTTCATATTTAAGAGCTTGATGCCAACTGTTGACTTTGCGGATGAACTGAACAGGTGTTTTGTTTCATCCTCATTTATATCAGTTGCCGAGAGGGGGTGTCACGAAAGATTTCTATAAAGCTGGAACGTCACATGCTCACCAGATGAGGGGGATTTTTCAATGTTATCAATTTATCTAATTTGCACATTTTTCTCCATGCAGTGACCGACTATAATTTACCCCTGTAAAGTATAAGTTGTAAGGCTCCTTACGTTTATTAAAATATATATGATATAAAAAAATATCAAAAATATAGCCGAGGGAGTACTTTTAGTTAAATCAAATTGAATTTTTTTATTTAAAACCGATTAAAATTGGCTTGAAAAGGTTAAACAGTTGGTTTTGTTGGTTGGTTTTAAAAAAATATTTTACATTATATTTTTTAGCGGTAGAATAAATAAAGCAACACTTATTTCAATTTAGTTCCAATCGCTTTTGTTTATTATAAAATGTATTGAACAGCTTATTAAGCATTTTGGTTTATATTGACAATAACTATACCTTTCTTGCCAGGGAGTAGCTTAGGTAATTTAATATATTCGACGGGCTCGTCGAACCTGAACGTGAGTCGGTCTGCTCTTTTTTACACAAAACTGGTTTCAATCCCTCTCTATTACCAACTCTCGTGATATTTCTCCGGCCCCATTTTAAGTCCAAGTTTTGCCATTAAATAGAACAGATGTGTGTTACCTATTGAAAACGCAACTAAACGAAGCGTATTGCTTAGGCTGCTGGGGCGAATCCAATCCGCCTGTGGCCCACATCAAAGGCGGTGTAAAATCGGCCGATGAAGACGTCTCCCAGAATCCAAAACTCCGCCTCCATCAAGGTGAAAGCGGACAGACATATTGTCGAGCCATCGTCATTGGCTGCCCTCATTACATAATCCCTGGGCTGCAATCCAAATCGCTGGCCTCCAATAACAAACACTATTTCGGGCAATTTATCGATCTCAGAGCAGTTGATCAGATATTCATTATTCGATGTGGGTAAACCGCCAAGCAGGCTATTAATAATCAGATATTCCCTGGGAGGAGCTGCCAAAAGAGAAGTACCTGTGTCGGCAATGGCCTGACGGTTCTGGCTGATTATTGTACCGCCCAGTTCTACGCCATCTAATGGGAACTGCCAGTAGCCCGCAAGAGTTAGGGGTACGTAGGTTAGCGACCCCGAGAACTTGGACTTGTCCACACCACCAAAGAGCAGCTCACCACCTTTTCGTTCACTGCCATTACGTTTCAGATAAAACGAGAATATACATTCATCCACTAAGCTTTGATCACACATGCTCTCGAACAATGGCTTTATCTTCTGCTCAGCTATGGCTCGAAAACCCAATCCCACGATCCCCGCAAAGTTGGTATCCACAAAAGTGGAGCCCGGCTCGTGCATGGCCATGCCGAAGGTTTGATTTCGCACCACCAGTTGGCCAATGGAAACCGTGTCCTGGGCCAACCTCCCCGACAAGCTGCCAGTACCGTAGGCCATGGCAAATCCCCGACCATCCGGAACATAACTGCTCGAGGCACTGGCGTTGTAGCGATGATGGTGCTGACAGGCCAAGTTCTTGGCCGAACACTCGGCACTGGGCACCCACAGATTGGCCGATCCAGTGTCGAAGAGCATGTTGAACGGCTGACCCGGAGTGCCAATATTGATGTGTCCTGCGTACTCCAAGTTTAGCCGGTTGTCCAGCGTTTCGGTGGCTCCACTGTTCCGTGTCGTAACCTCCTGACCATCAACCACATTGTACTTGGCCAGGAGAGACGTTCTACCGGCACGATGTTGACGACGACTGGCCATAAAAGAGGCCTGAAATTGCATGGGAACGCGGATAAGTTGGGCCTGGGAGTTTGGTCCAAACAGGCACAGGATCCACACGGACAACAACCAAAAGAGGCAGTGCATCGTTGGGCAACTAAAATCAAACCGATCCGAACCGTTTGTAAATTCCCTTTCAACTAATTGGCAGAGATTCTGACGGCGATTGCTTTATAGCACCTGCAAATGGAGCAATTTAATGGCCAAATTCGTCTGGCATTCAAATGGAAACGACTAATGTGGTGGTTGAACGCACTTCAATGTTTGCGTTAATAGTAGATAAATAGGGCGAATACATTTAATTGAATAAACAAAGCAATGGGAAATTACCAAATTAACTTGTGCGAACAGTGGGCTAGACTTTTACACTGGTACACATTCCGGTCCAGCGAATTTGTATTAATTTAAATTTATAATTTTAGGTCTTATCATTTTAAGATCTGAAAATTAAAACAAAAAGTTAGCACATTAATTTTATTAAAATCGTATAAGCTTATCTTGATAGGATATGGAAATATGCTTACAGAACAATAGGCTTAGATAACTTTTATCAGACCTGTGTGTTCTTTTATCAAGCACTTCGCACCGCCTTGGCCAATCCAATCCGCTTGTCTGTGGCATCATAAACCGTATAGTACCGCCTCAGAAAAACATCGCCCAGCACCCAAAAACTCATTTTAATGGGAGCAATGGCCAGTACACATATCTTTTTATGACGAAATGTTAACTCAATCAGATATTCGTTGGATGTTAGGGGAAATACCTTGCCTCCGATTGCAATATTAATATCAGGCATGGTTTCTTTCTTACAGGTAAGCACGTTATAGCCGTCTTCTAGCTTAGCTGATAGGGCTTTTAGCAGATTATCGTAGGTTTCTTGGGGTATCAGGACCAGCGAGGTACCCGTGTCCAAAATGGCATTGATCCTACCACCAATTTGTGTTTTTTTTCCTACGGTGGTATTGGTTATTTCCAGACTCCAAGTATTCGATCGGCTGATCGGCACGTAATGAAGTATTCCTTCAAATTTTGATTTGTCAAAGCCACCGAAGAGTAACTCCCCTCCTAGAATATTACCCGAATGTTGGCGAAGGTGAACCGAGAATATACACTCTTCAACCAATCGTTTAGCACACAATAGTGGCACAAATGGTGTCGTGTTGGCCCAGGCTAGAACTCCCAGACCCAAGCCCACCAGTCCATCAAATTTCACTGAGTCAAAGGCAAAGTGTTGCAGGAATAGGCTTTCTCCAAAGGTAATGCCGGGTAGATCAGCTCCAGCAAGTTGCATAGTGTCCTTCGATAGGTAGCCAACCACTTTGCCAGATCCATATCGCAGAGTGAAGTTACGACCATCCGGAATATAACTACTTGATCGAGAGGAGTCGTACTGCTTGTGATTCTGGCAAGCTGAGTTACTTTTCGGACAATTAATAGATGGCAACCAAGTATTCGAGGACCCCGTGTCGAAGATCACACTAAAATTTTGTCTTGGGGTTCCCATGGAAATCGTCCCATAATATTCTAGGTTTTGGTGGGTCTGCAGCGCTAGGCTTAGTGTCTCACTTCCATTAGTTATATTTCGGGCAAAGAACCGCTCACTTCCATTAAACTTTTTCCTGACATAAAGCGGTACTTTCAACATGTATCCACTGGCAAACATTATTTCCATAACCGCGGGTAAAACAAACCAAGTGCGAAGCATCTTCGATAAGTTTACTTGAAGAACTGAAAAATAATTTCTCCGATTGTTTGATTTTTATTGAACTCTTTTCTCATGTAACTAACAGCTGTTTGGGCTAATTAACCAGCTAATGGGTTGGTCGAAAGCTGCTTGTTAAAGGTAACATATTAAGCTTAAAAATGAAAATATTAAAAGAAAACTTGGCTCTTACCTTTAATAATTTTGTTAGCTAAAAAGTTTTACATTTAAAAGTTGATAGTTTAATTATAAGCCCACAAAAATGTTTAAGAGTTGTACAAGTCTAAGCAAGTTTGAAATATTAGATTTATAATGACCTTTTATTTGAGATCAGTTATGTATTAAGTACATGTTGGCAAAAGAGTAAGCCTAAGTGGACGAAGTGGTGGCAGCGAATCCGATGCGATTGTTTGTCAAGTCGAACACCGTGCAGAAATGCCTGATGAAGGCATCGCCGAGGATCACTGGTTCGCCTTCCGCTTCGGTCCAGGCCGATATGCAAATGGTCTTGCCCCTGATGGTTCTCACCTTCATCTTCATCTTCTGTCCGTAGATTACGAACTTTCTGCCCGCTATGACCAACGTGAGGTCGGCTATTCTCTTCGAGCACTTCATCCAACACTCCCCGCTAGAGGTCTCAGTGCAGCCGATGATCTTGTTGATCTTGTTGTACAGTCTTGTGGGAGCTGTGAGCAGCGAGGTTCCGGAGTCCACTATCGCCTGTATGGAGCCACTCACTTTGGTGCCGCCCACGTAGATGGCCTGCAGGTCAAACTGCCAGTATCCCTTTTTGGTCACCGGAGTGTATGTGTAGCTATTCGATCCACTGTAAGCACTGGTATCGGCGCTACCAAAAATCAGGGCTCCACCTCGCGACGAACTGCGGCCGCCCTTCATGCAAATGGCAAACCTGCAACTGGTGATCACCTTCTCCGAGCACATGTTCTGCACCAAGGTCTTGACATTATCCACGGAAATGGACGGGAAGGCCAGACCCAGTATACCGTCGAAGTTGGACGTCACGAAGGTGGAACCCGGTTCCTTAGTGGTCATCGCAAAGGTCTGATTGGTAACCGCCAGTCCGGCCAATCTCACAGTGTCTTCGGCCAGGACTCCTGCCACACTACCGTCACCATAGGTAATGGCAAAGGCTTTGCCGTTCTTTATATATGTACTGGACTTTCTAGGGCGATAGCGCTTATGTTTTTGGCAGGCCCTGCTTTCACAGTGCGGTCCTGGCACCCAGAGATTCGAACTGCCCGTATCCGGGAGTACTATGAACTTCTGCTTGGGTGTGCCAATGTTCAATTTGCAGGAGTACTCCATGTTCGCCGTGTTCTTCAGGGTTGCGGTGCCAGAAGTCCTGGCAAAACTAAATCCATAGCGTTGGGCCAAAAAGGACTTCTCCGATCGCAGGTTGTCGGTGGTTCTCACGAAATTCTGTTGGAAGTCCAGTGGTATTGTAGAAAAACTCGAACCACTGCTAACGTCTGACTTGGCTTTCGTTCTGCGACCTGACTTCTTGGCCAAATTACGTCGCCTTCTGTTTTTTTTGGTCGCATTCAGTCGGCGTCTCCTGAGATTCTTTGATCTGGCAGCCAGTCTGCCTCCTCGACGGGCATTACTTTGCTGAACCCTGGTTCCACTCCTGGCTGCCAAGGATCTGGATCCTGATCCAGAACGGTTTACTTTCCTCTGTCTTGCCTCTGCCAAAACGACAAAGAGGCAAATTAGACCACACAACACCAGAATCCTGCAGCGCATTGTTAGTCTTTTTGAGAGGAATCTTAGTAGATACTAACCCTCGCAATTCGGGTAAAATGGGTTTTATACACCTCTGCATACGCCGAAATTTGTTAGCCAAGGTCACTAGCGAAAACAGCTGTGGGAATGTTTCCATTTTCCTAAAACGTGTATTAAATAAGGTAAGTAAAGCTAAAATTAGATCATAACATATCACAAGATAAATATTGTTCTTATTTTAAGTGGACTCAAAAATCTATCAATATAAATTCATATAATTTTAGCAAAACCCCTATTTATACAAGAAATCATAAAATCATAATGTGTATAAAAACATCTTTTGAAAGGTTCATCTTTTTAAAGTTCAACAATCATGTGCCTTAAATAAATATGTCAACACAATAGAGAACAGCAATAGCTCCTAGCCATATTTTATTTGCCAAAAAAGCGTAAATTTGTTTAGTAAATTAACGTCATAACGGAGTTTGTGAAAAACGGTCGTTTATTTGCAAAATTATATTTTTAGGTTAGCGAAATTCACTACAAATGGGATCTGTTTGTGCACATTCTTTCAAAGGCTTTTCGCTAAAACCTGCAAGATTACAGAATTAGATTATTAAAGTCAAATTCATTAAAAGTAAATTATATGTCTCTTACGTATGTTATTTCGACACGAGGTGATACCCATTACACAGCCATTGCTGAATTCACATCGCACCAATTTTCCATTTACTAAAGTCTCTCCACAGACAGGTTGATAAACTGCAGGACAGATATCAGGACAACCTGACCTGGTTTGTGTCCCAATTGCAGTGGAGAAAAGAATCACACACAAAATCACAAAAAGCGACTTCATTATTCGAGAAAAGTGAGATTTATTATGACTGACTTGTGAGAATGCGTTGAGCTTTTAAAGCCACTGAGATGCGCTGATTCTGAGCAAAAACAGCTGTTAAAAATTTATAATTATTTATTACCTTTCGACGATTTAGTGTAGTCTTTCGGAGAATCATCGTTCCATTGTCTATTCATTTCGAAAAAAAATTCCACACCCAACGATCGAATTGCAAAACTGGTTAAGCGCTTATAACCTTCACTCAGTCTGGGATCACTTCAAATGGCTGTGAAGTCCGAACGGAAAACGTGCTGGCCAGGTTAACAATTATATGTTTGAATTTCAATTTACAACGATCATTTTCTGCCACAAATCGATTCGGTCCGACCACCACTTGAACTCCCTAAAGAGATCAGTGCAGGTCCAATTGAAAGTTGGTCATGCCTGCTGTGTGGGTGTGGGTGTGGATGCTCTTGGCGGTCATGAATCTGACACTCGGTCAATCCATTAGTGAAGAACAGCTTAATGATAATGAGGCATCCAATGAAAACACTGAAAATCACATTAAAGTCCAGCCAAAGTCGCCAAAATTCCGGAGAACTTTATGTAAAAAATGCTATCCCTATCTGTACCCAAAGGACAAGTACTATGTGCTGCCCAAAAGGACAGGAACAAAAAAGCGTCATAATGTTGTCTTTCTGATGGAAGATCGGAAAACGGGACGGACCATCAAAGTTGCCTTTAAGAATGGCCTTAAGAATGATAAAAATGTTCGTGTTTTGAAGGGCTTTAGGAGCTCGAATAACCCATGCCGGGAAAAGCCCGGAAGATGCGTCTATCGGCTGGTCAACCGGAAAACTTTTCGCACTTACAAAGTGGACTTCAAGACGGCGTTCAAGAATAAAAAGAAAGTAAACATAATAAAGCTAATCCCTTAAGGATAGTAACAGAGCTCAAAACTGAAGACACTGAAATTAAATTATAATTATTTTAAACTGTATTATGAAAAAAATACATTAAAGCTAACGTTTTTTTAAGTTAATGTTTAACACCAGTTAGGTATAATGAAATATACTATAATAATAAAACAAACCTTTAGATTTCTGAATTATTATTAAGATATTTTTAAGCATCTGGAAAATTGGGATCAAATAAGTAATATTTTTAACACCATAAGACACTGACAGTTTTATTGTTTAAATTTACTTCATAGTAAGTATTGTTAATTCTCAGTTAATAAAGTTTATAATTTTAATTTCTTGGATTTGTAGTCCAAATATTTAGGATCTGGTTACACTATTGAGAACATATTAGGACTTGGTTCATTTAATATTATTACTTGTTGTACTTTCTTTCCTATTTCGGGTTAAAAAAATAGTTTTTGAGTGCAAAAGTGAAGTGAAAATAAACCAGCGCTTTGGGCTCCCAACACTCAGAGCTCCCATTCACTTGGCTGCGACCTGTCGACTGTCATGTATTTTCGGCCGGACCGGGCCAAAACGAGGCGGACCGACGGGTGGGCGTTGAAGTTGGCCAACGAGATACGCACGCGGTGTCGCCAAGCTGACAGAGCCAAAGATTTATTACTTAAGGGGTTCAAATATTTGATTGCTGCTTTTTTTTGTCGAATTAATAAACCTTCAAAAGACAAAGTCAATCAAAAGCGAAAAATTGCGAGTGCGTAGATTTTACTTTCTAATTGAAAGCCAAAACCGGAAACTCGCAGAGGCAATGACTTTCAAAAACTCAAGCAGATTATAGCCATCAAAGAAGATGACCCTATCTGATAGCTTTTTTTTTATTTTTTTATGCACCAGAAAAATGACCAATTGATGCCAAGCATGGATTTTGTTTTTAATCAAATTTGAATAGGTGGAAAATATAGAAACTCTAAAATCATTACAATTTATTTACTCAATTGAAATCCGAAATGCAAGTCAGTTTTAAATTGCATTTTGTTATTTTATGCCTCTCTTAAATAACAGTTACTCAAAGCCGCCTTTTTAGTATTTCTAAAAAATGTGGAAAAAGAAGAACTTTGACGGTAAAAAACCGCTGCCGCAAGTTAAGTAATAATATCTTCTTTTAATTGTTTGCTAAAATGTGTTTTTTGTTTATTTTAACAGGTGGCATAAGAGGAGACCTATTCAAGCTGTTCATACATGGATTTAATTGTTGAAGATCGAGTTCAAAACACTTAGCTGTGATGAGTTTAAAATTATAAATATATCAGTTTCCAATGGGAAGCAATTCAGTCACCTGTATTCATCTTTAGCAACATGTACGTGAAGCTTTTTTTATTATTCGTTTTATTGGGTGGATTTTTTCACCTGAATAAAGCCCAAACAACAGACTGCTCGAATACGTGTATCTCACGTGTGAGATGCAATCCTTACTATAAGGATCTAGTCTGGGCAGTTGTAGATCGTGTTTGTCGAGTTTTCCAGAACGGCTGTATTTTTGGTAATAAGAACTGCATGAGGGCCAACCAGTGCTTGCCACGTAAGCTTATTTAATATTCATTGCTTAATTTCATTTTTAAGTGAGTATAATATGGTTACCTTTTAGCAATGGTGGCCACTACAAAGGAAAAGTGTATGGAATCCTGTCCGAGAATGTGTTCTCGTGGCGCACCTCCGGTGTGTGGATGGTTTCCCTATACGGAGAGCAATGGAACAACTGGAGGCCGGGACATGACCTTCCGAAGTCGTTGCCTGCTGGATCTTTACGCCTGCCGTAACGCCGAGGGTGAGTTTTTTCTATTTCAATACAATTTCTATTTCTTCCAATTTGATCAGTTCTTAAAAATAAAAACTAATAAATTGGAAGACTATCTGGTTAAAAGTTAATCACAAAAAAATCTTTAAAACATATATTTATTTTCTTCCGTTTTATGTATTTTTAGCCTATGTAAATGAACCTCGCATTGGACACTGCGCTTAATCTATCAGTAATAAAATAATTGCTGTACATTATGTTTTCAATAAATGAAAATGATTTTAATAACACAATTTTTATTTTTACAAAACTAATTTTTTTTGTTGTCAACAAACATATTCATTAATTTATTGTGAGCAAATAACAATCTTTTCGTTTCGCTAGCTTACACAGACAATTTGTTTGCTCAGCTTGAGGCTTAATTTGGGAAGATCCCGGGCTATAAATCTGGCACATGGTGGATGTATACTCATTATTGTAATGGATCTCTATAAGTCATCACTTCTCGTGGTGCTGCTTTGCGGATTTTTCCATCTAAGTTTGGCTCAGATCAGAGATTGTTCCGGAGCTTGTACCTTACAGTTTCGATGCGATCCCTACGCCAAAAATCTTATCTGGGCAGTTTCAGGAGGTGTTTGTCGCGTTTTTCAGAGCTCGTGCTTTCTTGGATCCCACAACTGTCTAAGGGAAAACCAGTGCTTGCAACGTAAGTCTGCGAAATGCGTAAATCAATCACTAGGATAATAAAAAATATATTTTTTGCACAGCTTTGGTTCCCACTAATCAGGATAAGTGCATGGCCCATTGCCCAAGTAGTTGCTCTTCAAGTGGTCTACAAGTTTGTGCCTCCTTTTCCTACGTGGACACCAATGGAGTCAAAAGAGATCGCCAAATGGTCTTTCAGAGCCGCTGTCATTTGAATCAGTATGCATGCCAAAATTCTAATGGTAAATATATTTTAATATAAAAAATGCTTAACGTAGAAAATTTTTTTAAAATAAAAAAATTTGTTATATTAAATAATATTAATGATATTAATGTTTAACAATTCCAGCATATATAGGTGACCCCTCAAACGGCTCCTGCTCTTAAACAACTTATTATATCAAACTCTTTTAAAAACAGAGACGACTATAGGGAGCACTACAAATTTGAATTGTATTTCTTATTCCTTATGTGTATGTTACTTAGTACTTTAGTTTAAATATACAAAAGGGTAAAATTAATATGAATTTTTATTTTGTACTTAGCTTACACAAGTTATATGAAATAAAAAGTTTGGTTTTAGCTATTCCTGTTTATTTAAACAGTAATTTTGTTTACATTCAGAAGCCTCCTACACTGACTATGTCAAAGTAACACTAAATGACTTTACTTATCATTGCCAAAAAATTTAGTGCTCTCCAAGAGAAAAAAGGATTCTTAAACTAAAAACGATCTCTCATTATAATTTTAGATATTTGACAAGATAAAAAGCAAAACAAAAATTCTGAAAAATATCAATGAGTTTATAAATGTTTGCCAATATATTTTTGTTTCAACGGAGGTGTTTCGCCCTTTAGATATGTGTTTTAAAACTATGCCTAAAAGTACACTTTTGTTATTTCATCGTAGCATTTCTTTATTTATATACTTAATACTTCATACTTAACATTTTACCTTAATTGCAATGTTTAAGAACACATATAATGCGTAGTTACACGTGCAGAAGAATTTAGATCGGCATATGGGAGTAAAGCCTTTGTGTTATTCTGACAATATGGGAATCGAATCGAGTTCATTGGCTGGCCTAAATCTGATCACATATAAAACTTAATTAAGTCAGCAGCTAGCGACATTTAAATTGCAATCGCCCCAAAATGCAGTTGATCATCCTAGCTGTCCTGTTGGCTTTTATAGGAATTGCACAGTCACAGGTCTGTAACTATGATTGTAGACGAGTAGGAGTTGACTATCTTTGCGGAAAAACTGTGCGAAACGGCAGGGAAATTCGATGCACCTACAGAAATCCCTGCGAAATGGATCGGCATGCCTGCCAAAAGCGTGAAGGTGAGTTAAGAACAAGAAAACTGCAATAAAGTGTCATGATTATAACCATTATTCATTAAAATTATTTCACCAGAGTGGAAAAAAGACTCGACAGGTCGATGCACACGCGATTCGGATGAATGCAGAAGGTAGGGGGAAATTACCAGGCGCAGGAGAAGCAGCTGAATATTTTTAAGAATGTATAAATATTGACACAATTGACAAAACGAAATATACAAAATAATATTTTTGACAGTCTCTAAAAACTTTTGTGGCGTTACATTTTAATACAAAATTCGCAAACAGTAAGAACGGTTGGGCAGTAAAAATGCAAATTGTCTGCACGTTGGGCAACACAATTTTTCTCATTTATGTGCTTCTAGGTATCTTTACCGTAGTTGAGAGCCAGCTTTTTACATTGACAGGTAAGTCAAAATCGAAAAGTACGTATGAAACATTGTTGAAAATACCTGACCTCTCTAGGTCCCAAGAAGTGCCACGATGTGTGTCCCATGGGCTATCGGGTAATATGTGCCCTGGACGTCATAGATGGTTGCCTACGCACTTTTGCTAGCAGTTGTGTGATGCGAATGTACAACTGCAAGTATCAGAAGGGTATGTCTATGAGTCTGAGAGTCTTAAAGTAATAACTTAGACATTGTTGAAACCTGGCATTTATGGACTTTTTTATTGCAATGTAATGGAAATAACTAAATTTAAAAAGCAATTGTGATTGAGGTAACCACAACTTTGGTTATGTTTCTAAGACTATAAATACTATAAACTTTTTTTGTTTAATTTTTGGAAGTCTTTTTTTTTAAATAATATATAATTTAACATTTGTAATATTGTCATCCATACAAGAAGGAACTATTTAAATTGTTCACAGATGGAAGCATTATATGCTAACTTTAAAATATCAATTTGTGACAACATTCAAACAAGCTAATTGATGCTTATTGTGCATTTACAATTTTTTGCAACATACCAATTTGTAAGCATTGACCAAAGAAATCTGTTCTAGAAAATGCAACAAAATTTTTTTTTAATTTTCATAGATTATCGCATTATAGCAGAGAGGGCCTGTGAATTTATGACCAACGACGAGCTGCAAATGTTAAAAATATAGCGAACGATTTCGTTAGCTGTGCAGTGCCGGAGTCTACCGCCAGGAGCGCCAGCACGGCAATGCGCACGCGTCCTATACGCAATGTGGATGCGAACGAAAATCGCCAATTGTCCTCCGTTGTTTTCCCAGCAAAGCCATCCTTTTTTACGACATTGTTAATGTTTTAAATAACGAGAATTATTAAAGAAAATAAATTAAGCTAAAGTGTAATAAACATAAGCAAACAGTGTACTGTGTGACAGTGATTAAATCAAAGAAAAATAAGAGAATAAGTGACGAAAAAGAAAAGTCGCAAGCGAAAAATTGTTTGGGCAGGCAGGAGCAGCACAAAGGATACAATACACATATACTCGAGTGTTTTTGTGGGCGCTGAAGGCTGAAAAGTTTTCTCGCTTTGCGATTTAAAAACAGGTTTGTGTTTGTTGCTCCCAAAATTGTTGCATATTTGCGGGAAAATGGGGGGAAGTCCTTGTCTGCATTGCAATGTCATCGAATTGCGTGTCATAAAATATGTATAACATCCCCATGTGAGTTGCGTTCAGCTGTGTGCGCGTTAGTATGTTAGTGTATGTGTGGTTTGTCGTACACATTTTGCATACATGATGGTGTTTTTTTCTTGTTTACACGCGTGTCCTTAAAAACGATTCAGTAAATATTTTTAAGTCGGGTACTTTTAAAAATACTGTAATCAAAATCCAAATTATTTAATAATTTTAAAATAGCAGTATTAAAATGTATATTGCATCCAAAAAGTATTTATGTTCCCTTGATTTGCGAAACGGTTCAACATTGTATATATTGAGGCAAAAACATACAAAAGCTCAAGACCAAAAGCTTTAAACTTAAGCTTCTTTACATGTTTTTGCTACATATATATTAACGGGACTTTACTCAACACATAATTGCTATTTTTGCAACATGACTAGGCACATTTAGTTATATTAATATATTAATTAAAACTTTCGTTAAGTGTAAGTCCACAATTTAGTAAGTTCTAACTAGCAAAAAAGAAATGTTTACTTTTCACGCCCCTTACGCCAATTACAATGCTAACTAAATCAAATGCAATACAATTTGAAGGATTTAATCAAAACTAAATTGAATAAGTATCTGATTTTGTTGTTGTGAGGAGGACATTGATACTTATTCTTTTTTTTGCATTTGTAATTGAACAAGATCATCCTTACTTCAACAGAAATGTTATCATAACATTCCTGTTTAAAAAGAGGGGTGACGAGAGAAAAAGAGTGAAATTTCCAATGTGACCGCATCTTTGCCCAAGGCAGAACACCGCTAAACCGCAAAGTGTGACTGCTCAAACAAAAATACCGCGATAACGCAATGGCACAAATTCCCTAACGCTAAAAGAGCAACATCGATAGTATCGAACACAAATCGTCTTTAGCAAATTGAATAATAACAATAATGCGTGCGGTGCTGTCCAGATCGTAATAAATACTCAAAAGTACCTCATAAATATTATTTAATGGCATATTAAGTGAAACTAGTAAGTTAAATTTTTCAGACTTTGTGTTATCAGTGCGGTTGGCTCCTGTGTGTGTCTGTTTGTGAGGATAAGTGTATATAGTATGTGTATCAATGCCGATTTATGTTTGGTTCCCCGCCCACAAACAAGGCGAAAAAAGAACAATAACAACAATAGAGCCCGAACAGTGCAATAACAATAAAAAAAATGGAAATTTACCATGATTCAGAACTGTCAGTTCCCCGGGTCGCCTCTCTATTTATCATTTACGGGGTCTTTATCGTAAGCTGCGTACAATTCCCCGGGCATTAACCGATCAGTGGAATCAAACACCCTTCACACAGAAAAAAAAATCTTTCTGCTATGTAATTTTCTTATATTCTTCTTCATTTCAATTTGTTTACGTTTTTTCAACAAAATAACATAGTTTGTTTTTTACCATGTTTTTTACGTGACCTATTAGATCTCAAAATAGGCAGTTTTTAAAGAACCGAAATACCTAAAATATTTAGTATACTTTACAAATTTAAAAAATCTTTTTTTACTAAATTATAACTTAAGGACAAAGTTATTTTCAATAAGAACCCTAAATTCTTGCCGTGCACCTTCCACTTGAGCGACTATTTAATTGGCCTCGATGTGCATTGTTCGCATATGCTATGTAAATCTGTGAAATCCGAGAAGCGTGTCTCCAAATTTTCGCATTGCTAGCAATCCAGTTCGGGTTACGCTGCGTCCGGTACTCCAAGGGGACCTTCGTAACGGTGCACTTTCAACCTTTGACATTGGCATTGGATCTGGCTTTTCCAGGAATCGCCTAACACCCGCTCTCACTGACCTTGACATTTGCCGTTAAAATACCAGGAGCATTCCGTGAAAGACGTGGTGGGTAGGAAAAAGGGGGTGACAAGGCTGGTGGGTGGGCGGTGGAACGGGGGATGCGATTCCTGCACGTGGCCCGCGGCATTGACAACTTTTAAAGAATCACATAGACTTTGAGAAATCTAATTTAATTAATGACCGCAAAGCAGAACATTTTATCTAATCTTATCTTTACACGCGTACATTTTGTTACTAATGTATATTTAATTAAGCACTTTCCTGAACTGGAACTATCTTTTAATATATTTGGTTATATTTAAATATATTTTTAAAAATTAAAGAACAAAAGTAAGTTTTAGTAAGTTCTTGTGAGTCAAAATTTGTTTAAATATTCATAAAAATATAAACATTCATAGCTTAGCATCCAAATTTATACCTGATAATGACGTCATTTTCTATATCAATAGTTATATATGACTATTATTGAAATTATATTAAAAATAGTTCTACATTTTTAATGCGGGTTAGTAACTGCATTCATTTTGCTGTTCAATAAAGTAAAAATCCATGAGACCTACAATTTTGAATTTAAAAACAAATTGTTTCATGCTTTGGAAACGCTGGGTATATTATAGTCGCAAACTTCACCCGATATCAGTCTTGTTTTGCCTTATTTTGACGTCACTGTTGGAATGCTTGATTATTGATTTGCGTGTGGAGGGTTTCTGAAAAGTTTATGGTCAACTGGTTAATAAGGAGCGACGGTGACTGACAAACAAAAGCAAAAGTAATAAAGCCGGGCTATAAGGGGAGTGGGTGGGTGGAGATGGGTGTGGGCAGGAGGATGGGTGGGGGAGCCTTGACAATGACGCACTATGCGATTGCCGCCCGGCTGACGCACAATTGATAAAGTGCAGCCATAAATGAATGCGGGCGGGTATTTTATCCCGTCGTTTCCCTTTTCTGCGATTGCCGGCAGGAAAAAGTAAAGTCCAACGATTAATTCGGTCTTAAACAGAGATTATTTTGGGTATTTTGATTGTTATTTCTCATTGCAGGGTAGAGCAACGAGTTCCTCCGGCTGCGGCTGCTGCTGCTGTTGCTTGGGCACACTTCTGGGCAACGCATTGTCGCCGCCGACCGCAAAGCTGGGCAAAATTATGAACTTGTGTTCCTCGGGCGCAACGGCATCGACCACATCTTTATCGTCCACGGGACAGACGGAGAGGAGCGGCGGAGTTCCGGGAGGCGGAACAGAAGGCGGCGGAGGAGGAGGAGGCGGAGCAGGAGGCGAGATTTCGTCCGAGGGCACAAGCCTCTGCTTTGGCGGAGGACCGGGCACAGCGGGTGCCATCTCCGGGGCGGAGGAGCTGTCCAACGCCACTAGCCCGGCCAACGGAGCGGGTGGAGCGAGTGCGTCCACTGCCGGTGGACAACAGCCGACTGGCAGCAACGGTCACAGCCAGCCACACAACGAAAACAACGCAACCATGCCGCCCGAGACGCGTCCCAAGATGGTGACCGTCAAGCATCCGGAGTCGAACAAGCCCAAGCCCACCACCAAGAAGAGCAAGCCCATCCAGGCGGACCAGGACGTCATCAAGGCGCTGCAGCGGTGCCGCGATGAAGGCAAGTATATATCATCATATAGTCATCATCTGAGCATTTTCGGTACTGTTTAATTAGTCGCACTTAACTCCTATTAGCTAGCTCTCTGTAAGTGGATTATGCACATACATTTAATTTTTGTTGTTATATTAATAACTTCTCTTATACACATATTTTCAAGCAATATAATAAAAGCATAGATAAAACATAATACTGACAAACAAAAATTGGCCTATGTATTCAACATTTTTTTGTAAAAAAAAAAACATATATATATATTTTATTAAGGAAACCTAATTACAAAATTCAACCTATATTTATAGATGATTTTTTTGATTTGCTGCAAAGATACGATTTTTCAACCTTTTAAGAGTAAACATTGAAAACGTTTAATTGGTTTATTTTGGCTCCTTGAAACATTTAAATTTAATACCAAACTTTTAAAATAATGTCGTATGCTTCCCCGCAGGCATCAAGCGCTTGGACCTGAGCAAATCCTCGATCACAGTGATTCCCAGCACGGTGAAGGAGTGCGTGCACCTGACGGAGCTGTACCTGTACAGTAACAAGATCGGCCAGTTGCCGCCGGAGATCGGATGTCTGGTGAGCCTGCGCAACCTGGCGTTGAACGAGAACTCGCTCACCTCGCTGCCGGAGTCGCTGCAGAACTGCAGCCAGCTGAAAGTGCTGGATCTGCGGCACAACAAGCTGGCGGAGATTCCGCCGGTGATCTATAGGCTGCGCAGCCTGACCACGCTTTACCTGCGCTTCAATCGTATCACCACCGTGGCGGACGATCTCCGCCAGCTGGTCAACCTGACGATGCTGAGTCTGCGGGAGAACAAGATCCGGGAGCTGGGCAGCGCCATTGGGGCGTTGGTGAACCTCACCACCTTGGACGTGTCGCACAATCACCTGGAGCACCTGCCCGAGGACATTGGGAACTGTGTGAACCTCAGCGCCCTGGACCTGCAGCACAACGAACTGCTGGACATTCCGGACAGTATTGGCAACCTCAAGTCCCTGGTGCGCTTGGGCATGAGATACAATCGCTTGAGCAGCGTGCCGGCCACTCTGAAGAACTGCAAGAGCATGGACGAGTTCAATGTGGAGGGTAACGGCATAACCCAGCTGCCGGACGGAATGCTGGCCAGCTTGAGCGGCCTAACTACAATCACTCTCTCGCGGAATCAGTTCACCAGCTATCCCACTGGCGGACCAGCGCAGTTCACCAATGTCTATAGCATCAACCTGGAGCACAATCGCATCGACAAGATCCCCTATGGGATTTTCTCGAGGGCCAAGGGACTGACCAAGCTAAACATGAAGGAGAATATGCTGACGGCGTTGCCTTTGGACATTGGCACCTGGGTTAACATGGTCGAGCTGAACCTGGCCACGAATGCGCTGCAGAAGCTGCCCGACGATATCATGAACCTGCAAAACCTCGAGATACTCATCCTGTCCAACAACATGCTCAAGAAGATACCGAATACGATTGGGAATCTGCGGAGGTTGAGGATACTGGACTTGGAGGAGAACCGCATTGAGGTGTTGCCGCACGAGATTGGTCTGTTGCACGAGCTGCAGCGGTTGATCCTGCAGACCAACCAGATCACCATGCTGCCGCGCAGCATCGGCCACCTGGGCAACCTGACTCACCTGTCTGTTAGCGAGAATAACCTGCAGTTCCTGCCCGAGGAGATTGGTTCGCTGGAGAGCCTGGAGAATCTGTACATCAACCAGAATCCCGGCTTGGAGAAGCTGCCCTTTGAGCTAGCCCTCTGCCAGAATCTGAAATATCTAAACATCGACAAGTGTCCGCTGAGCACGATTCCACCGGAGATCCAGGCGGGCGGGCCGTCGCTGGTGCTGCAGTGGCTCAAGATGCACTCGCCGTACCGCCAGATGTGAGATGTGGACGGCGTTTGGCGCACCGTCTACGTGGGCAGCGACTGCTACTATCAGTATGAGCTGCAGACGGTGAACCAGGCGCCCCGTGGAAGTGGTGGTGTTGGTAGTGGTAGTGGTGGTAACGGAGGTGCAGCTGGAGGGGGATCTGCTTCCAGAAGCAGCGACCGTCGCTAACGGTGCGATCTCAGCTAACGGGCGAGATCTTGTACCCATCCTTAGTCCCAATCCTTAAGGGAAGAAACCACATTAAATGGGTGGTTTTGCTCTAAAAAAAATCGTTCTAATTAAAACCAATCCAAATAGGACAAACGTGACGTACTCTTGATATAGTTTTATTTTTTAATCCTAAATTTATGTATTTTTTTAATTTACTCCATATAAACTTAATTTGTTCTTCAATTGTTTTTTTTTTTTTAATTTATATATTATAAAATAAATTTTTAAATTCCCAATTCCCGGCAAAGGAAATTATAAATAAAAAAATCCATAATCATAAGGAAAAAGTTTATTTTAACGTAAACTTAAATTTACAATAATTATATCAACATTGATTTGTTTAAACATATTTTATTTTTGAGTCAACGTTCATAAAATAATTTTAGTTTCAAAAATCGATTATGATCTTCAAACCTTTATTGTGGCTTACTCCCTTAACCCGACTGGAGTGCGTTGGCTGACAAAACGATAGCTTTAACACGTTATACCAATGTCCCGCGTATTGTAAACTGCCCCGATTTGCTTTTTCTTTCTGTGTTCGAGTCCAGTTCAGAGTCCGCACTTTAGGTTCTAGTTTAACTCATGCTTCCAAGCTAGTCAAAAATGTAATATGCGAAACGAAACGAAAGTGAATTGAAAGCTTTAAACCTTCTGTTCGATCTTTGGTCATAGAGAAAGCAAAATCTAACGTTCAAAACTTCACAAAAAATACGCAAGCGCCAAGGAATTGTTTGAAAAAAAAAAATAAGGAAACTAAATACAAAAAGTGGTTAAGAAATTATTAATCTGTATACACGTATATCGTAGAAGTATTTTGTATAAGCAAGCGCAAAAAATCTAAGCAACAAGTATTAAACTTTATGTAATTTGTTTAAATGAAAAGTTTGCCAGTGTGTGTTTTTTTTTTGTGGCGCCTCCAGGCAAGCTTACATTTGTAAACATCAATATTTATATGTCTGTGGACTATAAGATCGGCATGATTGTGGTGCAGCTAATATAGAATTTTGTATGTCAGACTAAAAAAAAAATATAACCAAGAATTGTACTACAGCCATTTGCATATTTGGCTTTTTGGCAAAAAACTAGCGAAAGGTAATGTTGTAACTTCATTTTTATGTGGGTGTGTCTGTAATTGATTTGTATGAATATTATAGATGATTTAAATGCATTTAGTTATCTAAACCATAATCAACGATATTTGTATGGCAAGTAAAACAGAGTTAAAAGTAAAAAATATTGTAAAATGCCACATAACTGATAAGCGTAAAAGATACATAGAAATAACATGGACTCAGAGTTGCTGTTCTTCTAGCGAAGTTGGATTTAAACAACTATATATGTACAAGATTGGAAAAAAGTGTTTTGACAAGTACTTTTGTTTTAGTTAAAGAAAATATTTTTAATTTATGCTTAAAAATAAGATCGGATAAAATAAAGTTTAAATATCAAGAATTTAATTATATATTTACATTTGTATTTGATAACGTTTTTCTTCATTACAAACACCACAATAATATTTAAACTCTGTCGAAACACTTTTGTACAACAACTTGAAACACCGATTTGCCATTATGGCAATACTCCATTGAAAGTCAGGTTAAAAAAATTGATTTATTTATTTTTATATCGTAAGCTTGATGTCATGAAACACAAAACAAAGTAAAAAGATAGAATTTGTAGCTACTCTCCGCTGCAATGCAACGCAAATGGGCTTTAACGTTAAAAAAATCTTTAACAAAATCAATAAATCAACGAAGCTAACTTTAAATGTTTTACATCCAAACATATTTACACTATACACTTACGATCAACTTTTACACAACTAATTTTTGAGACTAACACTCAAAATCTATACGTACATATTTATTTGAGGACTCCATGAGACATGCATAGTATGTACATATATTTTTCAAACAAACTGTATGCGGCAGGGTAAACTAATCTGGCAAAAGTAATTTAATTACAACAAAAAAATCTAATAATATGAGAACAAAAGTATATTTCCAACGGTACAAAAATGAAAACGTAAATGTAACAGAAATACAAATAAATGTTAAACTAATAATCGCACACTAGAATAATAAACACAAACAAACACACGATGGATTCAAAAACCAGAAGTTGGCCAAATTTCGAGCCAATCGCAAATAGAAACAATAAATGTTAATTGAGGTCAAGTTAAATGAAAGTGAAATGTACAAGTTAAATGGTAAACATGATCAAGTCAAAATATAATGATACTCCTAAAGAAAAAACATAATTAAGCATACCTACGTATTTGCGAAATAAAAATAATGAAAATAAATTCGTTCTGTCTATCTATTCAAGTCTATCAAGTTTTGCGGCAGTTGGCGTTATTTTGATCTGGCAATGCTGTATTGCTACCGTTATTGGCAACTCGGTTAGTTGATACCCTTGGTTAATTTTCAATTGGCGGACTAGTTTTCGTTGTGGCTGTAAACTTTTTCTTTTAATTTTAAAAAAATAATTGAAATTTTTTTAATTATGAAGAAAGGCTTGCTACAAATGTTGAATGATGTTTAAGTACGATTATTAACCAGTTAATCAACAATCGGGCTTTCGGTTGAATATACGCGTGTGACAAAAAATAAGACTAAATTGCTAAGATAAAAATCGCCATTAAAATAAAATTCAATATTTAATGTTTAAGAGATACAGGAGCGGGGGTTCCAAATATAGCAGGCACTTAATGTGTCATATACACCCTCACCAGCTGACTCAAATCCAAGGTAGCTGCTCAAAACAGCTGTTCCTGGCTCTTTGTACTCGAGACAGGTGATAATAAAGGCGCAAATGTCGCCCAGTCAGTTTACAAACAAATCTCAAAGCAGAAGTACCGATAAGGGGAGTACTACCAGCACTCTAGATCGTCCAGGTAGGCAGATATATATGCGAATTACGTGCAGACTAAGGCGTACGGAAAAGGGAGAAAGATATAGGGGGTCAATGCTATCTGTTAGTGCGCTTTGTTTTCGCTTAGCATGAATCACAGAGAACATTAAGTGTGAGGACGGTATGCCATTACGATGACCTGAACGATAAGGCCAGTCGATTCGCATTTGTGCCCATAAATGGCTCATTCCCGATCTTTTAGGCGCTCAGTGATCTTTCAAAACCGAATCGTTATACTTGCAGTGCAGCCATGAAATCCTGCCCTTCCATACTGGTGGCCTTGGTATTGGCCTTCGTAAGCCCGAATCCCAGTTTTGGGTACTCCCCACGAGAAGATGCCCGGCTCATTAGGGAATTTAAACGGGCAGAAGAACTAAATCACGCCAAGATCGCCAGGGAACTGGTCCATCGAGCCAATTGGGCGGCCTTGGGAAGTCTCTCCACCAACAAACTCGTGAAAGGATATCCCATGGTCAACATTATCTCAATAGATGACAGCGATGCTAATGGTAACTCCACGGGAAGGATTCGCTTTTTGCTGACCGATCTGGATTTCACTGGTCCCGATTGGCAAAAAGACAACAAGGTCACATTCCTGTTCAGCGATGAGCAGACTCTGAGGTGCAAGGATGGCGGAAAGGATCCCATGGAGCCCACATGTGCCCGCTCCATGATCAGCGGACATGTCATAAAAGTATGTAGAATGTAATAAATACTATTCTTATTTTTTTTAAATATTCCACTCCGACCATCAGTTGGATCCCCACGGAACCAACTATCAACCTTCGTTGGATGCCTATGTTAACCGTCATCCAGCTGCCAAAAATTGGCTAAAAGGTACCTTATTCAATTTTTAATTCTGCTATAATGTCAAGGAAATCATACAAAAAATGTTAATCAAAGTGAAAGTGAAAGACAGAATACGATTTATTGCTGTTCTGATAACCTATCAGAAAAAAATAAATTGATTGCTATATGCATAAATGTATGCAATACAAATGCAATCCATTTTCCATTTTTTTAAAATCGATTTTGTTAATATTTCATTGTTTTTCACACAGCCCACACTTTCTACCTTTGCGAGCTGGAAATTACCAATATTTTTGTGCTGGACTTTTATGGTGGTCCTCATGAAGTCAGCACCTCCGACTACTACGCTGCATAGATTTGAGGATCTCGATAAAGAAACCACCTGACGCCTCATATATGTACTTTGTTTACTGTGTACTTTGCGATCAACAAAATAATTGATAAGCTATTTTGCACAAAAAGAAGTATAGCAGACAAAAGACAATCAGATAAGCCCTGTGATTTCCCTCAACAGAACAACACAAAGAGTAAACAATTTATACAAATTAAAGAATGTATATTTCATTAAATTAAACCGGTGTGGTACAATGTAATTATTTAATTAAAATGAAATGCCAAAATATTTTATACAAAGTGAAAGAGTATAAAATGTAGTTTTCATTGTGGGAGGCAAATATATTTTCATTAAAACTAAAAAATTAGCTAACCAAAAATATATTTTCATTTAAGAGACAAGAAGTACTTATATAACTAGGTGGATGTTTAATTATCTTTTTCGTCGAGCACATACCACTTTTGGAGATATTTATTTTCAAGTATTCTTACCTTCAATGACAAATAGACACTGGATCGCCAACATATAAATAGGATCGAGTGATATCAATTGAGGTCGAGATAGGTAAACTCTTAACCGTTAGCTTTTGGAGTAAATGATGACTGATGGATCAGTATACAGTAATCCAGTTTTTTCTGCAGAACGCTTTTGATACATTACGCATTAAATAAGTAACGTTTGCATTTTGTTTAAATTCTGAATTTTCTGTATATTCTTATCGATATTTACACCATCCATATAGGCTAGCAGAAATGTGGCATGTATCAAGAGAAGGTAGCGTACTATTTTTGCGCTCCTTTTTTTCTGATCATGATGAAAGATTTTTTCAATACACGGTCAGCAGAACTTTCGTATATACGAACTTTCTGCTGAATACGACCAATATCAGCCTGGGTAGTGATAAATTTTTAAATATATTTTAAACGCAGTTTCTCAAAGTATATCAATAAAAATGGGTTAGTCTTGTAAGAGGGTTACAGCCAACGAATCTAGGATCCTGGAGCCTTGCACAGGGTGGCGTCGATCTTCTGCAACTGGGGCAGAATGTCGCGTAGCTTGGAGCGGTAGCGGACGTCCTTGGCCACCGGATTGTGTTCCAGATAGATGGTCTGCAGGGCCTTGTTCACTTTAAGCAGCTCGATGTTCTTCCAGTCGTCCACTCCGTTGTGGTTTAGCCAGAGTTCCTCTAGGAGTTCCAGGCTCTCCAAGTTACCAATGGCCTTTATTCGGTTTTTGGCCAGGTCTAGGGTCTCCAGATTTTTGTTTTCTGAGAGGTTTTCAATGGTTTCCACTCCATTCTCCGATATGTAGAGCTCACGGAGGCTGGCCAACTTCTCGAGATTCTCGATTTTTATAATACGATTGGCCTGAAGGCTGAGTATCTCCAGGTTAACCAGTGTGTCGAGATTCTCAATCTTGGCTATCTTGTTTTTGCCCAGAAAGAGCTGTCGCAGATTCACCAGCATTTCGATATTTTCGATCTTCTTCAGTTTGTTATCCCCCAGCTCCAGCATGGTGAGATTGGTGAGCATTTGTAGGTTCTCGATTTGGGTAATACGATTGGACACGAAGTACACCTTCTCCAATTTAACCAGCTTGTCCAGGTTTTCAATCTGCGTGAGTCGATTGAAGCTGATGTCCAGCACCTCCAGATTGGTCAAGTCATCTAGGTTCTCAATTTTGGTGATCTGATTATCGTAGAGCTCCAGTTCAATCAGGGTCTTCAGAGTGGACAAGTTCTCGATCTTCTTGATCAGATTCCAGCGAAGGAATAGGCGTTCGATCCGCGTGAGCTGCTCGAAGTTCTCCATTTTCTCGATCCGGTGATGATTCAGATCCAGCTCGTAGCACTCCGGATCGATGGTGATTACCTCCTCAATGGAGGCCACGTCCTCGGCGGGAATCACCTGGATTCCGGCCACCGTTTTGGCCATTTCCGGATTGTTCATTGCTCTGTCAGCATCGCCCATGTCGGTAGTAAGTTATCCGGTATTTATATTCAAAAGACTTCTTAAATTTTATTCTTGTTTATTTCGCCAGGGCAGGGTGTTGAATAACATGGGGTGGTTTTCATTCTGAACGTTTGGACGTCACAAAGCCTGTTACGTTTTGTAAACAAAGCTTAAATAGTAAATTTAAATTAAAGTTTAAATAATGTGTATATCTTTAGTTTATATTAGACTTGATAATAGTAATGTTGAAATGTACTAAGCTTTTTTGCGCAGTATTAAATAAGCGCATTAATTCGGCGTCACCTTAAAAACATACCGGCTTTTCATGCTGGAAGTGCTAGAGATGAGCACTTATTAACATTTCACCCAATAACAACAATCAATATAGTTATAATATATGTAAATTTAAAAACTTTGCAACACAACTTCAAAATACTTTTCACAGTATTTTATAATAAATAAATTTAAATAAATTTATTATAAATAACTTCTCCAGCGCACAAATTTTGTTCGCAAATACATTTATAAAAAATTCGTGAGTCTTTCATTACCATCTCTTGCGAATTCTCTTCTATGGGTAGTGTTGGAAAACTCCAGACAGTCAGCTGTTCCCGAAGCGTGTTGATTTCAATTGGCAATAAATTGCAATTTGCTTAAACAAAACGAGAAAAATGCTCTGAATTGACAGCCAACCAGTGGTTTAACCATTTCTTCCACTAGTTTAAAAAGGAAGCCTGACTGCTGGTATTGTAAGACTAAAAGAAAGCGAGTGAAAGTATAGCAAAAGCCAACGATCATGTCTACGGGTCTAAAATGTCGCAATTGCGGATCCAATGAGATCGAGGAAGACAATGCTCGCGGAGATCGGGGTAAGTAGTGAGGTTGTCAATGTCCGCCAGTTATTTACCATATTCCGTTCACTATAGTCTGCATGAACTGCGGTTCCGTGCTGGAAGATTCCCTCATCGTTTCCGAAGTTCAGTTCGAGGAGGTGGGCCATGGAGCAGCTGCAATTGGCCAGTTTGTGTCCGCCGAATCCTCGGGTGGAGCCACAAACTACGGCTACGGCAAGTTCCAGGTGGGATCTGGCACCGAGTCCCGGGAGGTGACCATCAAGAAGGCCAAAAAGGACATCACCCTGCTCTGCCAGCAGCTGCAGCTATCCCAGCACTACGCAGATACGGCCCTGAATTTCTTCAAGATGGCATTGAGTAGGCATCTGACCCGCGGCAGGAAGAGCACCCACATTTACGCCGCCTGCGTGTACATGACCTGCAGGACTGAGGGCACTTCTCGTACGTACAAAAATAGTTTTGCCTTAATGTAGCTAAATCCCTGGCTCACTCCTCCCCAGATCTCCTCATCGACATCAGCGACGTTCAGCAAATATGCTCCTATGAGCTAGGCCGCACCTACTTGAAGTTATCGCACGCCCTTTGCATCAACATACCATCTGTGGGTGAGTGAACGCCATGAGTATTAAGTCGTGTTAAGATAATTTCTATCAGTATCTACCAGAACAAGTGTTTAACTCATACGACAATGAGGTGAAGTCTTTAATACTTGAAAAACAATAGAAGGGGAGTAAAATGATGTCCAATTTGATTAAAACGATCCCGTTTTTGATCAGTGTGTTTTTTAGTCTCAAAAGATATATTTATTTCAAAGAGAATAATTTTCTTAAGGAAAAGGAGACCTTAGAGCTACTATTTGCATCAAAAAATATAGATCTGCTTCAAATTTAAAAATAAGGCTTTATAATTCTAAGCCTAGGAGCATCTTCTTATTTTAAGAGAATATGGTCTTAATTCCTTGACTAATTTTTTGTTAATTGCAATAGAAAACAGATTTTTGCTTGGAACAAGTCACTGGCTGAAACATTAATAATAAATTATAGCCGTAAGTCTTTTAAGTATGCATCTTGTCGAGAGGTTTTTCTTGTGTTTGAGATACATACATACAAAGATTCATTAGATATAGAAGATTTATTCGTTTTTAAGTATCTCTCTCAAATCTATTTTCTACTTACCGCTTTTGACATTCAGAGCAATACTCTATGCAGCTCCATAAACGACAAATTTTCAAACTTAAATTCGCAAAATTCTAATCATGTATTTCGTATGATTAAAGTACATAATGGTAATAGATTTATAATCAATATAGGATAACATTTTCATTTACGTAGATATATATGGATATAAAAAAACGGTAATGGTCTTCTTATCAAAAGCAAAAAATCAGTACAATTTCCAAAGAAATTCAAAAGTCGAACGTCAAACTGATTGTTGCGCAAAGCAGCCTTTAATAATGCATAGGAGAAAAATACGGGGCTTATATCAATTGAAAGGCATATGTGTATACAATATATGAGAGATAATGGAACAACTACGAAATATAGATAATGCATTCTACTAGATTAATATTCGAATATTTTAATAGTGAAGTTTTTGTGCGCATACTGGTACCAGATCTCTTGATTTCTTCTTTGCTTTATATCTTGTAAACTGGTTAACTTTGCTTTCAAATTCGTCGTATGCAATAACATGGCTTATTATCCCTTTAAGTGTATAGGTCTATAGTTATCTATATGCGTATATATATTAGTATTAGATCAGATGTGTGTATATATAAGGTATATGCTGGCAAAAATATGTTTGGTATTTATCGTATTAGTTTTTTCCACTCTATCTTCAAATCTGCTTTAGAATATTGGTTAACGCTAGCTTGACTGATTGCCCGACTTTCACTTATTGCATTTATATATACGTCTTTATTTCGCGCTTCTTTACCCCATCCCACCATCTTAAATCGTGGAACGTTTTAAGTTTTCGAGTCAACTACTAATCTTTATCTATTTGTTATGGGTGTATATGTTCAACTTGTTTCGATTTTGAAAATATCTTTATATGCATTACCAACAACTATGTACAGTGCGTTTTAAAACTGCAAAACCGTCAAAGTTAACTTGCTTAACATAATTGGGAAGGATCTCTTTTTCGACTATCGAAAACTCCTTATATCGAATGACTTGCTTCGGATGACTTTCCTGTTGAGATGATCTCGTTCTGACAACTGTCTTAGAGCTTTAAAACGCACTGCCGTGGTGTATATATATGTGTCTATGTTTTTACGTGTATATATGACTATGTATAGGACTATTACGAAAACTAGAGCACTCTACTATCGTGATATATATGTATATATGCGCCTAAAACTCCAATTTGCTTTGTTGTGTTGCACTGAAAACCCATGAGTTTCGATTTTGTATCTGTAGCTGTTGCGGTTGCTGTGTTTTGTATTGTTGTGTTGGTCTCCTCTGTTGCTGCTGCTGCTGCTGTTGGCGGTAGTAACACGCTCCCTGCCATTCGGCACAGTAGAGCTGTGCGCATCAGGTGCTTCCATCGCCGGCCAGATCTTCTCCAGAGCCGTTGGCGTTGTTGCCCGATCCACTGCTGCCCCCTAAGATAACAGTTCCGGATGCTGTGGCTGTTGCACCTCCTCCGGTTACTGACCCACCACCACCACCACCAATGGGTGTGGGACACACCGAGTTTGTGGGCGAACTCATGGCAGTCACCGTGGTGGGGCCGTAGAAGATCAGCTCCGGGATCTGACCACCCTGCACCCCCGTGCCGTTGGTGCTCTCCGACGAGCACTGGAACTGGAATGTCACGTTGCCCATGAGCACCTCCGACATGCCCTCCTGACCAAAGAAGCTCAGTTCGTTGCCGTCGAGGATCACAGAGGCGGTGTAGTAGCACTCGGGCTCGATCTGGATGGGGTTCTCGAAGAACACGTGGAAAGTGTTGCTCGATCCGTCCGAGAAGAACTTGGTATCGTTCTCGGCGAGCGTGCGACCCAGGCGCTTCAGTTCGATCTTTACGTTGTAGTTGGCGGCGCCAGTCGACGAGCCGTACAGTCCAAAGCCCACAATGAAGATTCTAAAGGGGAAGTTTTTAATAAGCCAAATCCTTCAATTGAGTGTCCAGCTTACCTTCGATCCACTGAAAACTGAATGGAGTCACAGCGTCCGCGGTAGCGCCACTGATTCGAGCGGTATGCGCACGACTGGAAGCGGTGGCACACCTGTGTCTTCAATCCCGCCCTGGATCGCGTGGGAAAGCCCAGCGAAGGCTTTATCTTGGCGGTGAAGTGCAGGAACATATCGATCGTCTCCTGCGAGGAGAGAATGCCCGTCTGGGCCACGCCGTTGGCGAACTCTTCCAGCGACATGGTGGGAATGCGGATGAGATGCAGCGCCTGTCCCAGAAGCCTGCGCTTGTTTTGCGGCGTATCATCGATGCTCATCTTCTCGCAGGCGTTAAGGGCCCAGTTAAGAGCCGCCTCGAACAGGTGGATCTCCTTGCAATTGAGCGTCTCCCGCGAGAGGATCGACTCAAATGTCTTGAGGTCAATGTCCACAAAGTCCTCGGACTTAACCGCCATCTCGGCCTGTGCGTCGATCACTTCCCAGCAACGTTGCATCAGCTCGGGCTCCTCGAACAGACGCGATTGACTGAGAAGTAGGCAGGCGTTTTTTGCCGTCAACTTCACCTCCAGATAGTTGACGCAGGCCCTGGCCAAATGCGGGACGATGTACTTCTTGGCTGCGTACAACGTGGCCAGGATGTGTTCAGGTTCCAGTTTGATTTCATCACAATAGAGGTACCTGAGGAGAGGAGTTGAATCGCTTGCATCAGCAGATCTAGTTAGTATCTCACCTCAGCAACGTTAGGAAGGCAGTGGGTTCCACGTCAGGCACTTTGATTTCCTGCTTGTTCTCCGCCAGTCCGCCATAAAACATGGCATAGAACACGGAGCTGCCCGTGGCGAGGATGTATTTGTGGGCGGGAATGGTCTGAATGGGATCGATGTCTGTCGAATAGATTTAGGTTAACAGATTAGCATTTCATTGGCTACTGGAGGAAACGAGAATTACCGAACTCCCCACCCACAATGAACTTGACATCGGACATCAGTTCGTTGTTGAACATGGCCGCATTCCTCTCGAGAACCGTCGCCTTGCTGGCCTGCCAGTTGGGGTCCGCCGTATCGATGGCATTGGAGGCAGCTACGGCCGCGAAATGCCAGTTGGTGCCGGCGGAGCAGACATACGATCCACTGCCGCTGGTGGGCGTGGCGGAGATGGCAGCCACCGCAGCCGCTGCCGCAGAACTGGAGGGCAGACAGAAGGCCGTGGGACTGCCGGAGATTCCTCCGCCACTGCTCCCGCTGCCTCCACTCCCGCTGCTGTTGCTGTTCAGGGCGCCCGGCGAGGCCAGCGGCGAGGATGGGGCACTGATGGGCTGCGTTATCTGGATGTTGTGATCCGCTCCTGCAGAGGCACCTCCTCCTCCTCCTCCTCCTCCAGCTGGCGATGCTCCTCCTCCGGCTCGCTGTTGTTGCTGCTGCTGCTGGTGATTGTGGGGCGGCGAGTGGAGCAGCCCGTTGCCATTGTTGAGGGTTTCCACTGTGAATGGGATTAGATAAACGGATTAATATTTGGGTTACGCAGGTTAAACATATCTAGGCTGATGATCCCACCCAGTTCGCTTAAAACCAGCAGCACGCGTGGCCACATTTGTGCAACTTCCGCTGCGTGTGCATCGTAAATAACAAATGCCAGGGTCTCCCCTTTTTCCACAATTATTATGCCCCAAATACGGTGAAGATTCTGTGAAAGGGAACAGCTTGCAACTGGTGAAATTTGGTTTATTACATTTTTGTAAAGAAATTATTGATATACTAAGTTTTTAAATTTCATTCCAAGCAAGAAGTGAATAATACTTTAAACTAAATTGGGTTTATAGCTTTCTTCAACCAAAACTACATTTTGCAAAACTTTTGACTTTTTTTCTTAGAAAGATAAATGTGGTAAGAACTATTATATTATTGCTTTAATGGATTTTTTCTACATTACATTAGTGCATTATACATTTTTTACTTTTTTAAAGATTAAATTAACGATAACTTATTCGTTTATTTTTCCTTTTTTTTTATCAACTTGTTCTTGACACTTTAACCTTTCTACCTATACAAATTTTGTAAACAAAGGTCGACCTTGAAAAATATGAGTATATTTTGTATCTATAGCTTGGAACTTCCAGTGATGTGGAGAGCAATCTCCTGAGAAGTTTGAACGGGAAAGGGTCTCGATAGGGAGGTTTTGCTGTACTCTAAAAGTGGAGCGTCTCAAAATAGCAACGCAGTCGGCTGTTGTTTTTGTTGTTAGTGTTGCCAGACAGCGCCCCTCTTTGTAACGCCCCCCCCTGTTCCCCCTGCCACCGGTGACACTGTTTAAGTTGTGTGAAAAATCAATAACTCACAGACACAGGGCACCTGCGTGCCCCACCCCCTGCCCCACCGCACCGCTTTTCCGCCACGGTTTTCCCCTAGATTTTTCCGCCTTACCATTTATCCATCCGCCATTTGGCTGCGAATGTGACATGCTCTCCTGATTTCGCTTCCCGGCGGATTTCAGCGACAATCGGTTGAGCGGATTGTGGCCTCCGTGATTGTTGGTCGAGGAATTGTTACTACTACTACTGGCCATCGCAGGGGAAAAGTGCGATTCGTAGCGCTCCGGAATGAAAAAACCAAAAAACCTTGTCGGGTTTTACTCAAGTACTTGCTGTTCAAACATTTGCCATCACTTAGGCTAGTCGTACGACTTTTTTACAGCGACTTTTTCATTTTTCCGAAGAATAGAATATAGAAGTACGTGAGTTTTTAACTTTTCACTAAATGTAAACACTAAATGTACTTAAAATACCAAAAATTATAATCTCCAACTGGTCACATTAGTGGAGACATGGTCACCCTAACTGCCAGTGCTGCCAAACGTTTGAGTGACAGTGTTGGTTAGCGCTGCACATAGGCGCCTGTTTTGAATTTAAATCAGCTAAAGTACGTCTGCTGACGATTTCGCAACCCATTTTGATTATATCACGGTCACTCGATGCTAATATGTATTTCCGTCATGGCGCGCCATAAAAAGGCGTACGTGTGGGAGCTAATAGGGCTGATCAAGAGGTTTTTTACACAAAAAAAAAAAAACATTACCGTGAAAAGAAATCTAAACTTGTGCTGTTTTTAGGTAAACTCCAAACACCGAAAATTATTTTTAATCATGTTCTTTAGAGCAATTTTCCTTTTCCTTGACAGCAAATTTATTAAAGATCTCACCTAGAGTTATTTGGCTACCTCAAATAATTTTTTGAGTGTAACTACCTCTATGTTTATATCTTTTATATTACAAGTCTCTGTCTCTTTTTCGGGACAGCCTTGCTGGGGCTTTACCTGGTATTTGCATGTCCGAATCGTATTTGGTCTATTATTTATTGCCTGGCCTGCGAATATTTATTATGAAGAAACATATCGCTGAACTTGAAATCGATTTTGATGTGTTTGCTTGGTCAGCGAGCTTACTTGTCAAGGTTTGTTTATCTCTTAGCACATTCATGTACAATAAAACCTGTTTCTGCAGAAGCTACAGCAGCAACCGGCAGCCGAAGATCGAAGATGTGTGCCGAAAATAAAAAAAAACATGTTGTTGACCTTTGTTTTAGCTAATTTCTGAATCATACCCCTGCTAACTCCCTTTCTGGTAAATTGGTTATAAGTTGGGCTCAACTTAAATACATAAAGTGATCTTTAATCAAATATTTGGGTCATTCTCTTTTTTTTAATTTAGGAAGAGTTAAATCATATCTTACCGTTTACTTAGTGTCTATTAAAAATGTCGGATTCCCAACTAAGTTCTATATATAAATTTGTTCATTTAAGAATACAATGAGGTATCTCATAAGGTAATCAACGATTCCGTGTTAATTGTTAGAGAGGATAGCCTTTCTTACTCACTGTGTTCTGGGGGTGGCAGCTCCTCGTTCTCCGGCACTCGAGCGGCGTACTCCGGCTCATAGTTGTGCGCGTAGGCGCTGCCCCAGTGGCCGGCGAAGTCTTCCTCCTCGAGGGTCAGCAGGTGGTCCAGCACCTGAACTCCCCGCTCGAGGGGGCCGTGGAACTTGTTGATCAGCTCGGAGAGCCGCAGGTTGAGGCCGTAGTTTCCCGAAGTAGCGCTGCTCGATTCGATGGCCCAGTAGAATAGGTGGCGTCCCAGGTGGCTGCTCAGGTGATTCGCAAAGGCCTCGATCATATTTCGGCCAGCTGCGGGGTCATCTTCACATTACTTCAGATCCTGGCTGTCAATGGGATATAATTAAAAACACATTAGAATACCATAATAAAACAATCTTATGGAAGGTATTGTATTTATTATTTATTTAAAAAAATATCACAAGATTTAAGGCAATGCCTTATATTAAAAAAATCTATGTGCTTAAAACCCCCAAAAAGGTTTCCATAGCTCTGCATATTTCTATTGATTAACACTTAATTAGAAACTGTTGAGAGTTTTGCAGAATCTTGGCATCTTGGCATCTAGAATCGGAATTTTAATATTCGACAGTTTTTGGGAAATTATTAATTAATCCCTTTTTCATAAGAGTAGAATTTTATCTCGGGCTTTAGAGATTAATAAGCTCTACACTACACAAACTGTTGGTTCATAATTTATGCAGAACATCAATTTGAAAGCTGATAAATATTTTCCATATGCCGTGAAATAATTTTCTAATTAGGTTGCTCTCTTTTTACCAACAAAAGTTAACTGAAGGAAACAAAACTGCCGAATTCACTTATCGTTTTGAAAGAGCCACCGCAAATTATAATACCACTCCTAATAATTTGAACGCAATAGTAATTTTGATATGTAACATAATATGATTTTTATGGCTATAAATGATACAATTTCGAATCGATTTTGGCTCAGTCTTCAGGCTCGGCTCTCAAATGAAAAATTGCCAATTGCGGGCTGCACTTTCACTTCTCCATTTCCATTTTCAACTTAAACTCCGGCTCGCACGCATTTGTCGCATTTTATTAGCAGCAGGAAGTGAATTAAGTCGAGCCCCTCTCTTTTTGACCCCCACCATTTTGGCTTAAATCTTTTTGGGTCAACTGGAGAACTATTTTTGTGTCTTAACTTCGTCGCACTTGCACCTGACTCTCTGCCAGCGGAAATTATGCAAGCGGCTATTTTTAATTGGCAGCATGGCGAACTCCGTAACCAAAACAAAACGGCGACAGACATGAACATAATTTTTGTTTCTCTCTCTTTATTTTTGACTCGTCACGGCTGTCTTTGCCACAATCAACAAGTCAGTGTAGAGGGCGATATATAAATAAAAAATGATGTATTACAAGCTCCCCAAGCCGCCTCCCCCGCTGCCACGCCCCCAATAAACAAAGCAATTTGCTGTCGGCGCCTAATGAAGTTCTTCATGCTTCGATTCGTCTTTGGATTTGAACTGAGTTAGATCTTTGACTTGAATTAGTGTTGGTCAGCTGTAGATGATTCACCTTTGACGAAATTTTTTGTGTTTAACTACAAAGTAAGAAAATTAACGAAACAAAACTACTAACTAATAGGACCTAATGAACTTTGGGAAATCTGTTGATTTAAGTAATGATATTAATCGTGGAAGAACAATTGGTGTTAGGTAACAAGAGTTTATTACTAGGTAAGTGTTGCATAGTCAAAAAATATTTAGGTAACTAAGTTTGCGAATTCGTCTGTCACATATCAGAATTTTAATGCAATACAAAAGATTAATTAAGCGCTAGGTATATATGTTTAAACATTTTAAATCTTCTCAATGAATTAAAGTAATTGTAATATTTTTCAGTCCATGATCTATTTGATTCATTCTTTAATAGGCTATAATCTTTTTTTTACCAACTATGAAGCTTTTTGAAACACAAAAAATTAAAATACAGAACACATGCTTGTCTTGAGCCCGGAAAACCAACCAACAAGGTGGCGAATTTTTCTAAATTTGAAATTAATTTAATATAAATTAATTGACTCTAAGTCGCAATGATGGAAATAGCAAAAAATTCTAGGCAGCTGTCGTACTCCTTTTTTAAACACCCTCCGATTCTGCTTAACCCCTCAACCCTACTAGTTGCTATGCAAAACACACATACAATGTATGCTAAATTAATTTCATGGCTTAACAATCGAGTCACGTTTATTATTCATCAGCTGTGGGCTTTTGTTATTTTCCAGCCACATTTCAATTTCGGCTTGTTTTTTTTTTTAATTTCTTTCTCGCGTGTGTTAGCGTTGATTTTCGTATTAAATGCGTATTTCCCGCTCTGCCATTGCACTCGGCATAAAAGTGCACTTCGAGTTTGCCGCTTGCATTAACTTTGGACGCCCTTTTCTTAATTGTGTCCGTTGTTTTTCTCAGCGTTGGGTTTATTTCATTTTTCATTGCCTCTTTAATTGCAAATGGTGCGACCCACTTTTTGGCCAAGTCTCGGGTCAGAGTCGCACACACACACTGACCGAAAAATAGGTGGTAAAAGGGAGACCCCAAAGCAACGCCCGCGTAACACTTTCGATTTTTATTTCCTCATTACACGCTCGCCAAAAAAAAAGACCAACCACATCCACAAGATCACAGCAAAGCAGAAAATACAAAATCAAAAAAAAAAGTGAAGAGTGTGTGTTAAGTCTTTTGTTTTCTCATTATTTCGCGGCCCTTTTTTAACGAGCTCGAGCTCCTTTTGTTGCATTTTCCCCCGTCCAGGGCATTTGGCAATCGTCACGCATTTAGCTGATTAACCGAAAGTGTCATAAAGCCTTCAACGCCCCAACTTGCTGGTTTTCTGGATAAAATCTATGGCTCGAAAGCAATCGACCTCTGCGACACCTCACATCGCAGTTGCAAACATTCGCTCACGTGGCCAACGGAATAACCTGTCGAACTCTTGGTCAAGCACTCAAACAGTCGATTAGGCGATCACTCGGTCAAGTGGTCAGCAAAAGAGCTCGCTGATTTGCCGATTTTGCACTTTAATTGTGCACTCTTGTCTGATTTTGTTTTTCAGTTTTTCTTAGCCAATTTGCAAATTTTGTATATTTTTTGTTGCCTTTTTATGGCGACTTGCAAGCCAACTCTGTAATCTGATAAGGGCTTCAAGGACCGAAAAAAAAAGGTTTCGACTTAAAGAAAAAGTCGAATTGGGGTCAAAACCGCAAATTTAAATTATTATGACCTATTTATGTGTCTTTGCAATATTCAATCTTCTTAATTTATTTGTATAATATTGTCTAGACCAAAAATGAAATCAATTTTAAGGTAACCAAATATACAGCTGATAAATTCTGTAAAATATTTGAATTAAATTTACTAAAAACAATTTATATAACGCGGCATTGGTTTCCTGAATTCCGAATTTATTAAGATCAATTCTTTTAAATCGTTTAACCAAACCACAAAGTTTAAAAATTTTGGTACCGACGTTTTACCATAGGTTTATTATAACTGTTTCAATATCAAAGCCTTTTGCCCAAGGAACTTCCAAGACAAAAAATTATTATATTGAGTAACTATTTCGCCGGTACGAAGGTTCTGGGGCGACTTATGAATAAATTTGCATTCGCTACGCTTAGAGCAACATTTCTGGACCAGAGTATCTAATTCTCGTCAAGCTTCACAGTCGGCGTTCCATTTGGTGGGACTCTCGACTTTTGTTTAAGGTGTTTCCATGTGAGTTTGGACCTCGCTTCGAGTGCCCTTAGGTTGTTTCGCAATTATTCAGACCGTCAGCTGTTGGCTAATGCCTCTGTCTTTCGGTTTTGCAGTCTATCAGCTTTTCAGCCAGCGTCTTTGGCTTTAGACGCTTTAATTTGCAGATAATTTTATAGACATTAACATGCAGTTTTTCTCACTCAATTTTCATATCTCATAGCATTATTTGGTAAGTCATGTTGCATTTTGTCTAATGACTCGACGAATTAACACTTTTTTAAAATTCGTAATTTTTGCTGCTTGAATTCGATTCTTTCTGGCCCAGAAAAATCCCCATTTGAATGCTCTTTCGACTCGCAATGATTTGCTGAATTCTAATTCTGTCTCTGTGGTTATTGTGACATGTTCTTTGTCAAATATTTATTGGTGTGTTTCGGTTTCTGGCGAAACCCGTTTTCGTTTCCTTTTCTGCTTGTATATTAGTTAAAGTTTATAAATTGTCATCAAGTTACTTAATACTTAAGTATTCATGCCTCCAGTTTGCACGATTCTTGAGTGGAATTCTAAATGCGAATTCGATGTCTGGAGTGAAGAGATGTATTCCTCTTGTGTTTTGTTTTTTTCGCCAGCTTTTTCTCTTATTTTTGGGTGGGGCCGATTTTTTAGTTTTAACTTTAGAGTACCTTGTTTTGAAATACAAACACGAAAGGCTGTGGGACTTTGGCTGACCGGGAAATTTGAGTATTTTGAAAAACTTAAACCTCGGGGAGTACAAACACTGGGAGGGCTGTCATTAAAAGCAGCGCCTCTAAACACAAATCATGGTTATGAGCAGTAAATTACAGCCAAATGCGCGGCAATTAACCGAGAGTGCAGCTAACAGATAATTATACGGCGCGATTACTTATTCCATGGTGATAAGATAGTTCAGCCTTGATTGAGATCTCAGTTTGTTTATTTTTCAACTGGAGGCGTCGATCATTAGACATCCATTAATTCAGTAGGTTTAGTGAAGCAACGGCAGTCAAAGCAGAATTCCTCAGCTTGCTGATTATTTTTAGCATGGCTAAGCACTTTCCGGGTGACACTAAGTGGGTTAAATATTGGAACAATTAATTATCCCCAGCCACTGATAGTCCGCAACTTAAATCGATTTATTCTAGGTAGTACACACGTGACGAAATCCGAAATGAGGGAATATTCGAGACAGGTGAATAGACTGTATTTGGAAGCATTAGAAACAATTATCTGTGTGGAATTTTTGGGGATTTTTTTCGCTTGTATTTGCACTTCACTCAAAGCAATTTTCTTTACTCGTTTTTTTTCACGCTCAACCGGCATCGCAAAGCTGTCAGCTGAGTGTTGAGAAAATGAAAAAAAACAAAACTGCACATAAATTAAAACGTCAACAGAAGAACAAACAAACGAGGTACGCGCACTTTGTCAACGATTATTATTACTTTAACAAGCAATCAGACAAATACACACTTTTGTAATTTGTTGGGTGGACGGCAAACGGCAGACAACTGATGAATTGGGGATCTTCTTCTTTTATTTGGCTTGCGCATGCGCGACAACCGGCCACGTTTTTGAATTTAATTTTATTTTTCGACTTGCGGCTGCGGCTGCGACTGCGACTGCGCGAGTCAACGAACGAATTCGTAGTGAGTTACTAATTTTTCAAGTGAGATCCAAAACCGGCAACTGGAGACTCGCCAGCCGATCGACTACGATCGACCAAATGGATTTAGCTTCGGTTTTTTTTTCGCGGTCGCCTTGAGACCGGTGTTTGTTGCATGCGATAAAAAGGCACGATTTGATTTTTATTTTTATTAAGTGCTAACCAATTTTAATGATTTAGCTTTTGCTTGCACGACTCTTGTACGCGACATTTCCTTAGATTGCATTTCCTCATTAATCTCGCGTTCTTGGTCAATTACAAAACAATTTAAGCAGCAAAACGCAGTTAATTGCTGGTGTTGAGGGAAACTCGAACCGCAATTGCTGGTAATTTTTTTTGCAAAATGCAGAGTAATCAGAGAAGCAGGGTGCAAGGGTGCACCCAAAATGATAATTGCTGTCATGACAAACGCAAAAATAAAGTTTAAATAATAATAATTTCACTAGCTGCAGTTGCAGAATGCGCAAAATTGGATGAAGTGGTTGCGAGGAGGAGGCGGCCGACATTAAGAAACCATTAGCAGCAGCCGTGCTGCTGGCAACTATCAAGAAGTAGCAGTACACTAAAAAAATTGGCCGAATAGTTTAGGCTTAAATTCTAATTTGAAAATTCAATAAAAAACTTAATATTGAAAAATTGTGACAAAGCCACTACAATGCCAATTGGTATAAAAAGCCTTAAAGAAAACTTATACATTTTATTCTGCGACACCTATAGTTTAAAATCGATTGATAATAAAACAATGACTGAATTAAAAAAAAACATATTTCTCTGAGTGTAGCAGTTAGGCAGCAGTTCGGGTAACAGCTGTGGCAGATGAGTGGGCGCTGTGCTGAAGGGTCAATGCAGTCACAGTTTCCAATCGCAGTTCGCAGTTCGCCGTCACCGCATCAGCGGCATCATTTTTCAAGTGGAGCACTTAACGGCAGTAGCAACAAAAAGGCAGTGGCGGTGGCAAAGGGGCATTTTCGGGGGGCGCCGGAGTTTGATGGCGGCTGCTGCTGGGCCTCCGCAAATGTGCCCATTCATTAGGGTTTAATAAATAATTTTTTCCTACTTAGTGGAGTTCATTTTTTGCTCTGTTTGTGGAGTACAGTTGGCGAGACTTTGACAAGCATCCCCTCCCCGTGTCCGCCCGTTTGTTCGGTCAGCGGGGGTTGACGTTAAACAGCATGTGCCTTTGTGTGTCAAGTGGCGCTGCACAAGCAACCAGCTCGGGGGATGGAAGCCAAAGGATTAGCAGTAAGTTCCGGGATAATGTGCTAAACTCTGGATAGGGTTGATGGATAAATATTAAAAATGTCATAAAAACAATTTGTAAGTTACTTGACGTACGCTTTTTTTGCATAATTCGTAACATAAATATGCAGGCGGGGATTTAACAATATTTTTTGTGAAATATCTTCAAAAGCTTATGAAGACTACATTTAATGGTAAACTTTTTGAAGCTATTTAATCCTGAAATAAAAAGATTGTTTCGCCACATCTTTTCTCTTTTTTCTCACTTAAAAATATGTTATCTCGTAATTATTTAAATAATTAAAACCAATATGGTCTATCATTATTTCGTCATTAACTTAAACAATTATACGGACAATTATGTAAAATGTAATGGTATAATTCAAGTGACCATCCACTCAAACCATTATGAATCTCTTAGAAAAGCGGCTTTACTATCTCTAGTTTCCCAGACCAATTTGCGGGCAAATTGTAGAGCCCAAAAAAAGTAGAAAATATAAAAAACCTATTGGCAAATAACTTTGGCAAGGTCGTGTGTCTGCTGGCTTTGATTTTCCAATGCGTTTCGCACTGTTTTCTCAGACGTATTTGTTGTGCGTTAATTGCTGTTTGCGTTTTCGTTTTGGCTTTGGTTTGCCAAAGTGTTAATTGCACATGTTGTCTTGTGGGTTTCCTTGGCTGGGCCTGTCTTCAATCTAGTTCAAATATGCCTAATTATCGGTTTAATAGGCCAATGAATAGTCCAAAACCTTTGGCGGGACTACGTGACGGATGCGTGATGTTCGTGCGCAGCGCACACAACTTATCGCATGCTAGAAAACCTCAGTCGCCGACTCTTCGGCTTTCAAACTCTTCTGTTTTCTGTTTGCTCACTCTCACTCTCGCGATCTGACTCTCTGCACCTCTCATTGCCATGTAAAAGTTGAATGAATTGAATAATATCGGACCTGAAGTTCGGGTTCAAGATTGTTTATTTCGGCAGCTGTCCATGGAGACGTGGGCCGGTTATTGAATGTTTTCGGTTTCATTGGCTAGACCGACCCGCCTTCAAGGTCGGCGAACAAGTTCTTCGGCTGATGCTCTTGCAGTTTGTTAATTTTATTGAAATCTTTTGATTTTATGAAGATACTCTTGACTAAGGGTTAAGGCACAAAAGTGTAAAGATTGATGCAGATTCTTAATCAAACCATAAGTATATATGTGTGTTTTGTTTTAGTATTTGTCAACTTTAAACGAAAAATATAATTAAGAACCAAATTAAATTGTACCAACATTTAAATCTTTAGTGGTATTTCAATAAAACCCCGTTAAGTACCAATACATATCTAAATTATCACCACCTAACTTCCCACATAACTTCCCCGAACTCAATAGGAGACAACAAATCGTAATCACCCGCTTGCGACTTGGCCACACAAAGATGACAAACGCACACTATATTGACCGTTCAATACCGAACACATGCCCACTGTGCAACAACGCTCTTCTAGACGTTAACCATATCCTTTCCCTTTGCCCTTCTCTCTCGACACAACGATCCTCATCATTCCCCAATCTAAACCCAACCCAGGCCTTAGCCAATCCCACCAAAGTTAATTCCCTAATGATCCTCACTTTCTTAGAAAAATCAAATATAATCTACACAATATAAACTATTCCTAAGGTATATAAGTTCATCAGAAAATGTAAAACCATAAGTAGAACAATAATATAAAATAAATAATTAAATAATGCTAGTATAAAATACTAAACCACCCTCAGAGCTGAAGGCCTCTTGCAGCTATAGCTCTAACCACAATTTTTGTTAACTCCTAGTTTTAACTATTAGTTAGCATTGTATAAATAAATAAATAAATTATTATTTATTATTAAGTTATAAAAATGAACTGCATAATACTCGCTAATTTGTTTCTAAACTTTTCGGCTTAATTTAGTTAATACCTGAATGTTAATTAGTAGTTAATATGGCGCAAACGTCAATTCCGATGAAACGTCAAGAGTATTTCCTCGAATTTCTTTCCGTATCTGCCTGTCTATTTAATTTTTTGTTGCCTTTGCCCACAGACCCGTGTTTGTACATCATGCGTTTTGCCAATCGCCTGCAGTTGGGCGCCAAAACGCATGAGGTTTCGATGACGGCCCTGAGGATTGTGCAGCGCATGAAGAAGGATTGCATGCACTCGGGACGACGACCCACCGGCCTCTGTGGAGCAGGTGAGTGAACCATTGCGGTCGATGTCGATAACCAATGCTGAAAGGGACTACTTTCGACCTTAAGCTCTGCTGATTGCGGCCCGCATGCACGATTTCAGTCGCACCATGCTAGACGTGATCGGTGTGGTCAAGATCCACGAGTCAACGCTCCGCAAGCGCCTCTCCGAGTTCGCCGAGACGCCCTCGGGTGGACTGACATTGGAGGAGTTCATGACGGTCGATTTGGAGCGCGAACAGGATCCGCCTTCGTTTAAGGCGGCGCGCAAAAAGGATCGTGAGAGGATCAAAGATGTGAGTGTTTGTCTGTGGAGTAGTTTCAGTTTGAAAACGACTTTCTCTATTGCTAGATGGGCGAACATGAGCTTACGGAGCTGCAGAAGGAGATTGACGCTCATCTGGAAAAGGACCTGGGCAAGTACTCCAGCTCCGTGTTCCGTCAGCTGGCCAAGGGAAAGGGCGTCACGTCGGGCAGCTCCCCAAGCTCTCCCACGAGCACCTCTGAGAAGGATCTCGAACTGGAGGAGTCCCGTCAGTTCATCGAGCAATCCAATGCACAGGTCATCAAGGAGCTGATAGCCAAGAACGAGGATGTGAAGAAGACCGAACCCGGTGGCTTGGTGGCTGGCATCGAAGGCCTCCGTCCGGACATCGAGGCCATGTGTAGGGTGACCCAGAGTGATCTGGAGGACGTGGAGAAGGCCAAGCAGCCCCAGGAGCAGGAACTCATCACCGACGATCTGAACGACGACGAACTGGACCAGTATGTGCTGACCGAAGAGGAGGCGGTGGCCAAGCTGGAAATGTGGAAGAACCTCAACGCCGAGTATCTCCGGGAGCAGAAGGAGCGCGACGAGCGGCTGGCCAAGGAGCGTGAGGAGGGCAAGCCGGAGCGCAAGAAGCGCAAGCCGCGCAAAAAGGTCATCGGCCCCTCGTCCACCGCCGGCGAAGCCATCGAGAAGATGCTGCAGGAGAAGAAGATCTCCAGCAAGATCAACTACGAGATCCTCAAGACCCTGACCGAGGGCATTGGCGGGCTGACGGACGACTCGGCTGGAACCAGTGCGGACACCAAACCGAGCACTCTGGAGGAGCTGAAGCAGCAGCCCGTGATTGTGGAGGAAGGGCCCATTGCCCCCAAGAGCAGGGGCTCCAGGCCAGCCTACGACCTGCCCGGGCCAAGTAGGAAGCGCCCCAAGCTGGAGGTGGGTCTCCCTGTCAGCCAGGCAGCGGATGTGGAGCAGCCAGATACCAAGCCCGCGGTGCTGGTGGAAGCAGGTGCGTTAAACCGAGCAACTAGGGTTTCTTGCCTGCAAACTAATCCTCAAATCTCCTCCTCAGATGACGTGGACGACGACGTGGAGGCGGAAGCCGAAGAGGCTGATGCCGAGCCCGAGGCAGAACCGGAGGCCACTCTCCAGGACATGCTCAACACGGGCGGGGACGACGATGAGTTCGGCTATGGCTTCGACGAGGAGGAGGAATACTAGGCCTAGACTCGCATTTAGCGTTTAAAACATTTTAGTATATATAGTACACACCGACTTTATAGTACCCAACCTACTCGTAACACAATTAAACTAAGCATTAAGGCCCGTGCACTTGTTGCCGCCCAGCGCGTTGGCAGGGGAGGGCATTAAATCATGGCCTCTTCCTCGCGGCCATTTACATGTTTAAGCCATGTCGGCGCTGGCACTCCCGTACACTCCCGTACACTCCGGAGTCTGGACTGGTACTTGTAGCTATGTAGCTTCTAATTGTTGGCTCTGCCGTGGCGCGCCTCCAAGTGCTGCAAATAAATATTTCACTCTTAATCATGTTTTGCACTCTGTTTTGCTTGCCTTTCTCCGGCGCTGCAGGCGGCCACCAGCTCAGTTCAGCTTCTGCTTCGGCTTGGGCATCAGCTTCAGTTCAGTTGTTCAGTTGTGGGCCCGGCCAGGAACTTGGCTCGGTTCCACGGCCGTTGCGTTGAGTGGCAAGTGCCCGGCAACGAGCTGTTGAGTCTGCCGAGCACTTGTCTCTGCGATTTTATAGTTATTATGTTGTAATTAGTGTTAATTTACTTGCCTCCGGTTCAGCAAGTCAGCTTCAGCGCTCCCATAAACTATGCTACATCTTGGGGCAGCTAACGATATTCGAATTGTTAGTGATTTCTATTCCGAACAAATTAGCTAACTATGTTGCTTGGCTCTATGATTAAGTTGTCGTCTAATAACTATAAGATAATTAATTAATTAATAAATATTATAAACTTATCAGTAATAACTTAAACTTTTGGATTTATTGCCACATTCCTATATAACATAGTGTGTCTAATAGCCCTTAAGAACCATGAAGTATTTACTTGGCAGATCTCAGATCCCGGCATTTTTATTCACCGAACTAATAATGAAACAGAAAAAATCAGGCAATTATCGAATACATTTCCTTCATTAAGCATAGTTAACTTTCGACTCTCACTCCAACTAAATGCTTGCAACTTTTCTGTTCGTGGAACATGTAATACGTTTCACTTTTCAACAAATTTATGCCGGAAGTAAAGTTGAGAGCAAGCCGGCTTCCCCGTTCGCCAAATGGCTGCCGAACCAAGCTGAAGTTAACTGCACTTAATGCCCATTCGCTAATTTGCATAAGCCCACAGTGAAGGCCCCAAGGATAATTATTAATAAAATGCACACGAACCGCTCGAGAGTCCAGGGCGTGGCCCTGGCCATTTCCCGGGGCAGGATTTGCTGGCCAAGTTGCAACGATAATGTGAACTGTAGGCACATGTAAATCCCCGAGCAAATGTGACAGTAAAATGGCAATTAGTAGACATCTTGACTTGACCAGCCACTTGGAAGTTTCCTGGTCAGTGCGACTAATTTATGCGCAGCCAGCTGGGAACTGTTCGGAGTAAGGTGGAGGTGCTCGTAGTCCACCCATGGCACGCCTCTTGATGTGCATAATCGCCCGATTAAGCACATTAATCCCTGATGAAATACCTTTAATGCTGCTTAACACGCTTTCTCCTATAAGTTTTTATTGGTGCTCACTTTTTTTGCCAGGTAATACGAAAGTGTTATGATATCGCTTAAAAAACAAGTTTTAAAAATTACATGGTTTTTATTGTTCTTTTAAATGTTTTATTTTTCTTAACCTTGCTTACAGTAACCTTTGGGGCAGCTTGATCTAAATAAACATTGGGTAAAAAAAATTATTCACAGAGAGGCACATTACATATTATTTATACATTATGTACTTATTATACACATTTTAATACACTATATTTATTTTAAATTTTATATTTATGGTTATAAGGGGTTCCTGTAAATTGTATTTTTAAAGGTATTTTATATGTTCGAACTTATACTTTTTTTTCATTCATTTGTTTTTCTCTCATACAACTGTCACTTGGGGGATATTAATAAAAAATCCTTTCTTTGCCACTAAAATTCAATAAAACTTTTCAGTATATATTGAATTCTCGATTGCCATATATTTTAATTCAGTTTAATTAAAAATGTGCCAGCCTGAGGTCATATCACAGCTCCGAGGATTTTGTTGGCCTTTCATTTTTTTTTGTCTGTTAAATTTTGTTTTCGCTGCTTTTGCTCGCCTTTTCTCTCAATAAAAATTGTATCATTTACACTTTATTTGCGGATTTGGCTGCTTTATTATTAAATACAGCCGCCACAGGCTGCCATGGTTGGTGGACTTTCTGGCGACGTCGGAGACCATTTTGAAAAGTATTTAATAAGTGGAAACAAATAAAGCGGCAACAGCAAATACCGAAAATGCGAAAATAATGCGTTTAATTAAAATAAGTTGTGTGGGTGCTGGCCAGGCGGCTTAAACGAGTAAATGGGAGCGTGGAGCGTGTAATACGCTTAAAGTGCGGCGCGTTAAGTATACGAAGTGTATGATTCTTGCCAACAGACCTATTTTCTGCTACGCACACTATTTAAATGCACATGAAGAACTGGAAATCTGCTTAATTAGAAGCAACGACCCCGCAAAACTAGTTGCAATAAGTGCAGTTTTGCCGCGCATCAAACGATCAGACCCAAAAGTATGCTACAATTTAAAGCCACCCTTCGATTTTAAATTTCATTTGCGATTTAAAAGCAAGTGGGGTAACTAATTTATGCGTTAATTATGTTGTGTTTTGGCTATCGAGTGTTGTTTCGGCTCGATAAATAATTGAAACGAGTTATCCCTGCGTGCCTATTAATTAAGCCGCTAAATGCTATGTTTAGTAATTTGTTCTGGTCTATTAAAGTGGGTTTAGTAGCTACGTTTACAATGACACAGTGAGAGTTTAATAGCTTTTATATATAGTTCGGTTGACCTTTAGTAGTAGGGTAAAATTGCAATGTTTAGTTTAATGCGTTTCATATATCATGTTTTAATTTGGATTATTGTAGTGATACTTATCTTTCTTTTACAAATATTTGATGATCTCTATTGAATTAATTAAATGTGAGTTGCTCAAATAATGCATCAAAAACTAAAGCCGAAACCTTAGTTAACACAGGCTCACACGTTTGCAGTCCATCGGAATAATAGTCGATGGCGCAGTGGAACCGTAAATGGCGTTGGTAATGGCAACGGCATGCCCAATCAGCGGATCGCAGGCGAATGTTTGCCCACTGTTTTAGCCACAAGATGGCCACCGGTCGAGGGGTCAATGGGTCAAGGGGCTATGAGGTAAAAGGGGTGGCAGACCAGCTTTTGAGGGCTGCTGGCTATGGCCTGGCATTAGCAGCAAGCTGCAGTCAAGATTCTGCCCCAATGGGCACACATCCTTACACACTGGCAAACCACTGCGATGCATTGGCAGTTAACAGACAAGTTCCAATCGCCCCGCCCCACGTACACTCTCTCATAAACCACGCACATTTGGGCCCGCATGCGAATATGCAATAATGAAGTAAATAAACGCTTGCCAATTGCCATTAAGCTGCGAGATGCAAAGCAGCACGAAATTACAGGGGAGATGTAATAAATACAAAACTTGAAAATAAAGTACATTTTAAGCTGGTTCAATTTAAATGTGTGCATCATTTTCTTATCACGAAATGGATTTAGGTTTTAGCCATATCTTAGTTTACAATGAAACTCCTGAACGCTCTTATGTAACAAAACAAGCACCTTCTTAATAACTAATATATTTAAATCTGTTTTGGTTTTTAAGACAAGCTGAACTGCGATACTGTGCTGTGATGTTTTATCGGATACCTACTGTATCCGATATGACCTGTAGGGTATTGAACATAAAGTGCCTAGCAAACTAGGCAAGGCTGTGATTGCAAAACACAAGTGCAATTACCTGGCCTGCAGGCTTAGCACATACACACAATTGCATGCGGATAGCTACTACCACACAAGCATCAACTTAAGCAGCTGAGGTCAACAGATTAGTGTCGACTTTGTTTTTACAAGATTAAAAAATGTTTTAATATTGTACTTAGTAAGTTCTTAAAAGAGAGTTAAAAGGATTTCTATTTATAAAAATATTTCTATGGTCTTAAAAATACTAGAAATTATCTACTAATGTCAGACAATTTGTAAATTTTAAATAAATAAACTATTAAGAAATATTTTAACTACTCAGCTTCTGATATAATCTTAATGTTATTATAATTTGAAATTGCAACAAAACTATTTTTAAATGCCTTTACAAAGAATGCTTTTGTTTTCACCTCAACTGTAAACATGCATGCATGATTGTACGTTAGCTGGGCGCCGCAAAATAGGCAACGATAATGTCATAAATTCAATGAATAAACATAAACGGAAAAAGCACATACACGCACACACACGTGCATAGAGGGGCGCACACTTATAGCACACATAAACAGCAGCTGCGTGAGTTGGGTGTTTGCCGCGAAATAGGCAGCAACAACAATGGCAACAACGATCCCCGAAACAACAGCGCAACATGAACATCAACGGTGGCAAAATATGTATTAGCCCCCGAAGTTTACTAACAAAATTAATTATGCGAATTAAGCGCAGTAAAAGCACTTTAAGCAATCCCCCCTTGCGCCCCTCGAACACTGCGGTGCTCCAGACACCGCCGACCGCACCACTAACGCCACAGCATCACCTCTCGCTCAGAGAACCCCCTCTAGATTCTTCGGGGCCATAATATGTGGCGCATTCTGTGCCGAGTCATGAAACTACACTGTCAAGTCATTGCTAGTTTTTATATGTAGACACAAATAGCTTTATATAGCCATAGACGTCTTTTAAATTTTCCGTTTTGTTTTATATAATTTGTTTAATTTACTAAAGCTGTTTTTTTCAAAAACTGCTACAATTGTATGTACTAATAACTGAAAATAAAACATTCCCTAGAATATGCAAAACTTATTTGGTAAAAAAAAAATCTATAATCTATAAATCGTATATTTAAGTTTTAATTCCGTTTGAGTTTGAATCTTGGCTTGTTGCTAGCCTTCTCCATGTAGGCTTTATTTTTAGGTATTTTTTTAATTAGTCTAGTCTTAAGAGGATTAGTTTATAATATGGCTGCAAATTAAACAAAATCTTAAATATAAATGTTTCAAGACTTAATAATCTTAGATGCTATTGTTAATTTTCTCAGTGCAGGGATGTGGATACAGGGGATGGGGAGGGTGAGAGGCCAGGACTCAGGGCAGGGTATTGTTCAATTTATGCGTGTTTGTGTGCGTGTTCCACTCAGGAGTTATTCCTGCTGCCGTCGAGCTCCCTCGGCTCGTTGGGCTTTTCGCCAGTTAGCAGTTTGTGGGCTCCCAAGTAGGCCAAGCACCCGGACCTGGCCCAGTGCAGGCCCCAACAGTCAACAGCCAACATCCAACAGCATACAGCCATCGAGCAGCAGCAATAACCGACGGCAGCAGCCTGGAAGTTGTTTATTTAAGTGTGAAATTTAAGTGCAACACTGCGTAATGTGTAAAGACCCAGCATATTTAGCATTATGGTAGGAGCAGATAAGCGACATCGACTTTAATAACCCCCAGGCGGCGGGGCTGCCGTAATCATAAATTGACCTGCTAATAGATAATAAAACAAAACACCAGCGAGCAAACATCAGTCAGCAGACAAGGGAAAAAAATCTGGGAAAAAAGTGTTATTGCAGCGGAAAATTATGGAGTGCACTACAAGCAGATTTTTGGCGCCGCCGCTGACCAAACGAAATAAATAAAACAATTTGTCTCCAATTTTTGGGGTCAGGCAGACGCCAAGCCAAATTAGCTAAAAGTTCGGACATGCACTTAGTTAATTGTCGCCTGGACTCAAATTAAACACATAAATATGTTCTCATTTCACACATAAATTCTGTTAAAAAAAAATGCAATGACAATTTACACCACCCTTCAGCGAAAAATATGTTCAATTAGTTTTATTTACGAGGACACAGTTCAGCTAACAAGAGAAATGCAATCACAACCCTCTTGTAACATATTTGAATATATTTTCATGTTAATTCTTTCGCATAATTGAAGCAAATGAAAAAAAATTAAATATAATTTAAAATTATTTGCTTAAATAATTGTATTTTATTTAGTTTTATAAAGATTTGTGTTAAAGCGTTTGCCCTAATTCCTTTTTAAGGGCTAAATATATATGTACATTTGTATTTGGTTCAGAAATTAATTTTAATGTTTTACAAATTGTAAGCTCGAATGTTTTTTTCAAATTGTTATTTCCATTTAACTTAACAAGTTGAAATAGAAACACAAATAAAATTTGCTATGAATATTGATAGGCACTGAGTGTACAACTTTTGAATGTTTTTAAATAGTGATTCACTAATCATTATAAATTTGAGACTTTCTCCTTTTTTATGCATTTATGATTAATCAAATATTTTAGTCAATTTTAAAAAAAACGTTGTTTCGCTATTGTTAAAACAATTATAAATATTGAATGAAATATATTCAATATTCACTGTACTCCGATATTATCTTTTTATATTTTACTATTAGGCAATTGAGTTAACGAGTATAATAGAACTGAAAGAGTTTTGGTCAAGTATTTGAAATTCAATTTTAGTTGTACTCCTATTTGGATTTAGATGTGTGCGTAAAAGCTGGCAGAGGGAAATTGAATAGACGGGATATGCAAGTGGCTAATAAAGAAAGAAAGGGAAAACACCTTGTTTTGTTTGCGATTAACACCATTGGCGATTTCACATTTTGCGAATTTTGTGATGACGTTGAACACTAACTGTCAGTCAAGAAATTCTGAATAAAAGGAAATAGTACTCAACTTGAATAAAGTTCGGAGCAAACTTTATTTTAGCCTTCTCGTACTGAAGGAGAGCCACAGAAAAACTTCAGACTAAGTTGAGCCAACTGCGGGGCCATGACAGACAGTTCCTGGCCATATCCTTGGCCAAAACCCCAAAAACGGAAGCCATCAGAATGGACGCTAATTAGCGTGCAAAGTTAAATAAAAATCAGCAAAAATGGCGCTTTCAATGCAGCATGGCATATGGTAAGATAATTAATTAATACTCACTCGCCTGATTGGTGAAAAACGATAGTCGGGGACGAGGCAATTAGCCAAGTTCTGTGCCCAGGCCAAAGGCAAACAATGATGAACCCTTTCCTCCGCATCTTTTTCCTTCGCTGTCGCCGTCTTTGTCCCTAATTCTAGCCCACTCTCTATCTCTCTCTCGCTCTCGCTCTCTTCAATGATGGCAACCGAGCTGTCTGCTCTGTAAATTGGTTGTGGGTGGTGACTTCATATGTTTTTATTTACTTCACCATGGTAAAGTGCATTCGAAAAATATCTTAAACAAAATTAAGAATTATTTCCATTTATCTTATGTATTAAATTTTTTTTTGTTTTATTATTAAATTTGGAAAAACAAATTGTTTTTACAGAAATGCTTACTCATTTAAATATTTAATAATTTTCAAGCAAAGTTAAATTTTTTTTTTTTAATTGAATTTTTTTTGCAGGTTAAAATTGTATATAAGACAATTTTTAAAAGAAAAATAGTTGTTGTGTTTTTTCCTCTTTAAACGTAAAACGTTTTTGCATTTGGTTTTTTATTGCGCTGCTGCCTTTTCCCTTTGCACTATGCTCCCACGTTCCTAATGTTTTGTTGTTGTTTTTCCGATGGCATGCGACTGAGCTTGTTTCTCGAAAAATAATGACTGCACATTAAGTGTCTACACACACATGCTGGGACAAGGCAAGTGAAATGTCAACAAATGACAACAGAAATATGATGCAAATGGCTCATGTAAGTGGTTCTTGCCGCCAACATTTATAAAACAGGACAACTTACAATGCAACAACAGCAAAGCAGAAGGATGGATGGAGAAAGTGGGAGTTTGGCTGGTGGGCGTGGCGGAGTCCGTCCGCTGTAGGCACTTGGTTTCTCCATTCTTCTTGGCAATTTTTCATTTGCCATTTAGAAGGGCGAGAGGCGACATTTGCTTAATGCTGAAATTAGCTTTTATTCGAGAAGCGCGCATACGACGCGTTGGCCGGAGTCATTGCCATTGAAATGCCTTTCGAGACTCTCGGCTGCAATTAAAAGCGCATTTAATAGAAATTGTTTGAGTGCAATCGCATGCCAAGGACATCCCAAGTACAGAAGTCATTGAATGCGGCCCATACCTTGCCTTTACTTTTTCGATTGCCTTGCAAGTTTTGAATGGAGGGATAAATTGCTGTCCTGCACTTTGAAAAAATTAATAAGAATTCTCGGTCGGAAAAGAATAATGACAGATATATTTTTGAGTTTAATACTTCAAATATACTTAATTTAGTCTTAATTTGCAAAACAATAAGAATAAAAAATGTAGAGTATAAATTAGGTTTTATTGCCACAATTTTGGTGGCAACAGGAATTAATCTGTCAACATAGCAAGTTTTATTTCAACGTGTGCATTCAATTAAGTCTCAGATCATTTTGAGAATGCGATTGCTTCTCCGGCTATGTGGCTAATCAGCGTTATGTGCGTTAAGTCAACAGCCGCAACAACATTATCATCATTATTTGTACAAAATGAAACCGGCCAAAGCCGCACACTCACACAATTTGGCAATTTGTGGTGGACAGTGGTCAACAAAAAGCAGTTCGGCCAAAGGACCATCCAGGACTCAACTGACATTCGGTCAGTCAGTCAGTCAGTCAGTTGGTTGGTTTTGGATGGCCCTGCTTTTGGTTCTGGTTCTGTTCCTGGTCCTTGCCAGTCGGCCACTCGACCACATTGATATTCCACGCTCGATGCGCGCCGCTGTTGCCCTTGGTCATTGAGGCTCACTCATCCCTCGTCTCCACTCCTGGCCACTAACGATAGATGTCCTTAAGCCAACACACACTCGCCCATATTGCTATAAAAAAATATTTATCTATATGGCGATATATGGCCGGACAGCCACTGCTGCTATCCGGCTATCTGGGCGACTTTGTCCAAAAAATGTTGCCAGTGCCGAGCGCAGCTTTGTTAACTTTTTCAGTTTAATGAAATCAATTCACAAGTCACGTTGTTGCTGGACAATAAATACATCAGAGTCCATTTAATAAAATCATGATGTGCACTTTGGGATGATATCCGCACGCCACACATACATCATCTATGGGTGGCCATAGCGTATGGTATCGCATGGTATCGTATCGTACCGTATCGATTCGTATATTGCAAATAACTTTCGGCTCTCATTGGAATGCCGCATATGGCCCGTATATACTCGTATATCATTTGCCCCCGAAGCTGCACCTCAATTGCTCGATAAGTGCGCGGCAGTGCTAAAACTTAAATCAAAATCCACATTGAGCCACTGCAGCGTTGGACTCCGACTCACTGGCAATTTGTTGCGGCTTCTGGCTTACTTTTCGGTTCATTATATTGATCTGTGACTCGGCTGTTTGCTTTACGTCTTTCGCACACTCATTTTTATTTGAGTGCCTCCAGAGGGACGAACTGATTATTTGGGAAAGGTGGGTGGGTTGCTGTTTCAAATGAAACTGTTTTATGAGTGCATCAATTAAGGGAAGGGGATATTGGAGATTGAGTATAAGAAGAAAGCACACATTTTTGTATATAGCCTTTAATATTTTGTAATAACCTCATGCAAAATAGCAAACTTTTAATTCAAACTGTACAGACTTAACAAAACATATATATTTTTTTTGTTTAAACCAAATTATTATTAAATTTGTACTTTACGGCTTACAAATTGCAAATCTCTGCCGGTAACTAAAGGATATGGGTCTCATTGTTCTAACAAATGTGGATGATCAAAAAACTCATTTTTTTTCAATAAGTTTTATACAACATAAAAAAAATACATTTGGTTACCAATTTCAAACTGTGTGTTGTTGAAGTCATCGTTTTAAAACGCTTTAATAGTTATAAAACAAATAAATAAGTTAAACGGAGTTTTAATAAAAAAATTTCAGTAAAGGGATTCCCTTAATTTTAAATAGAGTAAACTTTTGTTGAAACTCTTGTGTTTGTTAAAAATATCCTGGAATATCTAGTTTTTACTATCTTAGCCTCATATTTTGGTTCTAATATCTATACGGCTATTAAGGATAGGTTTTTCTCCCAAGCTGTTACCACTATATAGGACTATTTCCTTGGATAACCTGCTTCTGCGCACTCCAACAAAAACAGCTGTTAAGCTTAAAATTCTGTTCCCATTATTATCCGTGCAAAAACAATCTGAGGATAAAAGAAGAACTGTTCTAAGCCCAGCTGATTTCGAAATGCTCCTTTTGGTGACAGATTCTCTTAGCCCTGACCATAGATAACCGAGAAAGGCTTGACACCAAACACGGCGAAATTGAGGTACTTTCTCTCTTAGCCGCCAGGCCAAATTTGTGGCCCGGTGTTATACACTCCGTCCGGAGACTAGAGCCGGAGACCACGAAGCGGCACGAATCGAGGCGAGGACTCCGCTCGGGAGACGAACCACACCGATTCCGATTTCTGGGTGCGTGTGCACAGACTCCATGCATATCTGATGGCCAGCGAGCAATTCAGTCAGATGCGTGGTGAACGTTGAATTTAACGGTCGGTTTGGCAGTGAGTGTGGAAAGTGGAAGCCATCGCCTCGCTCCACGAGCCAGCGAATTGTTCGGTGCGGAAAATAGAAAACAGAAGGGCATAAAAAAATAGTAAAAAATATACAGATAACAAAGGAATATGAAAGTGAAATAACCGAAGGGAATAAATACATTAAAGTGTATGCCTTGTCAAAATAAAAAGTGTGCAAACAGTCCGAAATGTGTTCAAACTGTCAAATGGAGAAGTGTTCAAACATAGCAGTAAATTAAACTTTTAAAATAAACTAAAGTGCCACCATTGTACTTGGAGTTGGAGTTGCTGGTAAATTATTCAAGCAAGTTTATTTTTTCGGGGGTTTGACTGGCGTCCTGAGATCCTGGATCCTGCGCCGCCATAATGTTATACAAATTATTGCCTTTCAGACTGCCATTTCGGTTGGCTTTAAACTTTCGGTTCACGCAGCGTTCGCATTAAATTTCCTATTTTGTTGTTTTCCTGCCTTTTATTTCCTTTCCGCTATTCGCGTGGCACATGCGGCGTATACGCAATGTATCTGCTTCTATTGTAATTGTGTGTGTGCCTGTGTATAGCCTAGATTTTTGTGGTCCTTACTGTTTTCCCACTGACAGACTGACAGTCAGACGGCACCGAAAACCGGATTTTGAGATGGAACCCTGTAACTGGGACTTTACTTTGCCAGCTGAGAGTTCATTTTATGGATTTACGCCCCTTGTTTGCCCGGCTTAAATACTGAATGATCCACAAGTTGGCGGTGCCATATATTAATTTTTGTATTATGACCAAATAGTTTTTCCCAAACTTGGGCTCCATTTTGTATGGCTCGCGTTTGTCTTCATCAACTTGGGCTAACTTTTACCAAGTGATTGTTGATTTTGTTTGATTTGCTGTTTTTGTTTTGGTTGTAGCTGTTGGCTTTATTTGATTTTAGTACTTTGGCAAAGTCAACATTCGTTAGCAAAAATTTCGCTCACGTTCTATTCGAGCGAGTTCTCAATTTCATGAGTTTTGGATGCTGCTGGTCCGTGTCTCGTGTTTGCTTTGCTTTTCCGCCGCTCAGCCAAAGCGTCTGTCTATCTCCCTCTCACTCCCTTCATATATAAAAATATATATATTCCTATTCGAAATCCTGTTCTTGTCTCCGACTGTCTGCCTCCCCTAGTTTGTTTTTACCGCCTCATGCACTGTGCATACTGGGCGGAGTACACAAATAAATATATATATATATATAAATCGCACTGGTTCGCTGTAGTTGCGATGGTGAGTGGAGCTAAGCTGGGCTGTCCCTAAGATTATTTATGCGGTGATTAGCCACGCTGAATTATTGCTGAAATTATCAAGTGTGCTATAAAATTTCACTGCCATTTATTTGCGCAACTTTTGGCGGGGCTCACGTACTAACCGAGCACCCGCATGTCCCCGACCCATCTCCATGTACCTCACTTCACTTCTCTCACTTCACTCCGCTTCAAGCGGTGCCGTCTCATGTGTATCGTTGGCTCGTTTTGTCTCCGGCTCTGGCTTTGGATTCCTGGCTCAGATTCGGGTGCTCGGGTGCGTACGAGTGAGTGTAACAAATTGCCAGAGTTTGATTTTTAAGTGTGAAATATCGCACAACGAAATTGGATTAATTAAGCTGGGGCCCGCTTAGATTGCGTTGGCTTTAAAGCCAAAGCGATGGGACGCGCAGCTTATAAGGTTTAAATCTAGTCTATATCCTAAATATTATTATTCAGATTATTCAGCTGGGCAGAAGGAAATGAGATTTTCTGGGAGGGCGAACTCCGCTCACTTTCGACAGTTTCCACTTAGCCGGCATCTAATTGTCTAAGCTCTAACCTGAATTCAAATGAAAAGCTGGTTCAAAATCAGAGCTGTGCAGAGATTAATTACATTTAAATAAACAAGAATCCCTGAAAACAAGTCCAAGACCGCGACAGTTACATGAACAATTCAACCGAACAAACAACAATTGACAGCAGACCACTTACTCAACTCAGCTTGTCTCGGGTCGGTTCGATTTAATTTAATTTTGCTGCTTTAAGCTGATTACATTGGGTTGAGTTACAGATTTGGCACAAACTAAATCATTATGTATGGTTGCAAAACCAGCAAATTCCACTCATCAGACATTTGATGAGGGTTATCAGACAGGAAAAATATAGACAGTCATGCTCAAAATAGTAGAAGTAGTTAAAATAGACTGAATGACCATTTAAATACAGAACACTGATTTTGTTTTTCTCTGAACACAACCCCAAATGCTTTATCTCTAGAAATTTAATAATATAAAAGTAATGAAAGTTTTATTATATCTCTACAAATTTAATAATGCAAAAGTAATGCAAGTTTTATTATTATAATAGTTTTTTAAGCTGTATACCATCACCAGTCCTAATATTTTATAAGCTAAGCCCCAAACAATTTTTAAATAGACTCCTAAGAATTAGAATCTGATTTATTAAAAGCGTTTTATAGTTCTGTGTTTATTTGCAATAGTAGTAAGCCCTTTGTATCCAGCAATTTTAATAGCCAGCCACACTATTATTATTTTGACCGCAGCTGTATCTGGTTTATCTTTGGTAAATGAAAGTCAAAGCCGAGCTTAATGCCGGACTTAGTGATAGCAAAAGCGAGCCTCTTGCATATGGCATATGCCCAATGATTTATGACTGGAACGGGCCGACGCAGTCAGCAGAGTTTTGTCCCGCTCACCATCACAATTGGTGGTGAAAAGCGTGAAAAACTGTCGGCCACATGGAAAATCTCAGTGTGAGTGGGGTAATGTGGGAATGCGGCAGAGTAAATTCAATTTTACGTTTCACAACTCAGCATGATTTCTATCAAGGCAGGGGAATCCCCTTTTCCACAATGTCTACCGCAAACTGATTGCTTTTGGTGGTCCCTCGACTGTCTGTGTGTTACAAAGCCTCTGTGTGTGGGTGTGCGGGTGTATGTGGCCCCCAAAAGCGGGCTACATAAAAAAAAAACACTAAAAACTTGTAAAAGCATCAAAGCGCACTTTCTGAGCTCTCTACTCGAAAAAGTTGGGCTTGTTCGGCCCTTTGTTGTTGTATCCTTAGTGTTTCCTTTACTGCTGCTTGCTGCTACTACTGTTGTTGTTGTTGCTGCTGTTGTCGGCAGAAAGTTCACAAGTTTTCAAGTGAGTTTTCAGGGCGGTTTTCGGGGCTAGCTATTGGGAAAATTGCTTTCTGATAGCTTGGCTGATGTATTTATGCAGTTTTAATGAGAGCTGCTTGTGAAGAGGTTGTTGTTAATACAGGAAGTTAATAAGTTAAGTAGCCATTAGGTGGCTAAGTGCAAAGTTCAATCGCCGAAGTTTGAGTCCTAATAGGTTTCAACAGCACATAGAACAAATTTAGGTAATCTTACATTTAAATAAGTTTTGGAAAAGTTTTAAATCAACATCTTTTTATAGGCTAACTGGGATTTAGTCTTCATTTTTTTAGTGCAGTCTGAGACGAAACACAAGCCTCTATAGTCTGTGTTTTCTCTCAATCTTTGTTTTTTTTGTGACTGCTACTTAAGCCGCGCTTTATTTTCTCTTGAGGAAAGTGCAGTCATCTGTGAAAATATTGGCAAAACTCAAACAGCGCCAGCATTTGACATAAATCCTTATTATCCCTTTGTGCACAAATTGACATTGCACTTGTAAGGCGATTGCCGAGACTCTGCTTGACAGCCCCTCGAATCCCCTCTGCCTCAGCCCCTGGATGCCTCCTAACTTTTATCTGTGGCTTTGTTTTCACTGCCTTTGCAGTGGGAGTGGCATTAGCAGCAGATGACAAGTGCAGGAAGCCCTGGCAGTCCTGAAAGTCCTGAAAGTCAGCTTCGACCTCGGCACGTCTTCGCACTTAATTGAGGTTGACTCACCGCTGCAGAGAAAAATATAGAAAACTTATCAAATTTAGTTTTTTGACAAGTGGAAATTATACGCTTATAGTAGAGTTACAGAGCATAGAATATGCCAATGTGTTTTTTTAGGAAAATTTTTAATATTTTTAAATTTCTAGCTAAATATATTGTCTGTTGATGAATATTTCAATATGTTGTGTCATATAGTGAGCTGTTCGTTGGAAAGGCCTAGATCAAAATTGTATATTAATTTATTTATGTATTTAAAAGCTGGACATTAAACGTGGTGTGCCTGAACATGGCAAGAAATTTGTCTCAGTGTACCCTCTCTCGCACAAAGTGCACGAAATTAAAATTCATAATGTTGACTTTAATGGAACTAATGCTGAAATATCAAAGCTGCTGGCTTAGGTGCCAGCCAGCACATCGCATAGATTAGCCGGGCTGCCATGTAAGCGGAGCCAAGAAAATCCTGGCCAAAAAGGCGTCTTCTTCCTGTCAGCCTGCCTGACATTTTATTATGCGACACGCAGCCCAACCCCCTTAGCCGAAAAAGCAATGGAGCACCAAACTTTGACGTTATTAAATTATGCGGAGATTTGCGCACTTTTTTTTCTTTTTGAATTTTTTGAAAGCCTCTTGACGTTGTTAATGATGAGCCAGCTACTTGGCCGTCGACTAGGCCGAAATTAAATTATTTTATTGCCGGAAATTCATTAACTCATGCCTTTATGCAATTTCCAGACTACATTGCTGGCATACCCAAGTGGGAAATCTGTCAATTTGTCGGCATTTTTTCGGGACCACGCCCCTTCCTCCGCGGAAGCGCCTTTGATTAGTACGTGCCGTTGTTAACATTTCCATTATGCTTGTTATAACGTTTATTTTATTGCTCACCCTGCCGCGGAAAATCGATTGAGTTGTGATCTATTCCCAGACACATATTCAAAGCCCAAAATCCCTAGCAACTCGGCGAGACAATGCAAAACTGACACCGCCAGCAGAGTGGAATGTTATTTATGTTTTCACCGGACGACGGCAAAAACGGAACGAAATACGAGCCAAAAGCTTAGTCCCGGCAAAACCGAAAAACCAAAACAATCATCCAAATAGAATCATAAAAACAGTTAGGAACGATCATAAATTTTGCACGATGCATAAAAACTGTGCCACGTGGGGGACGACATAAAACCACCGATCCCCCGTGCTCAACGTGGGCTTCCGAATACATATATATATGTATTCGACAAATATATATGTCCTCGACATTTGCTGGACGAATAATCCCTGCAAATCAGCAGTTTTCCAAGTTTTTGGGACACATACATTTCGTCTAATAAATCTCGGAACAATAAAACGAAATTTACATTTTTATAGGAGCGATGTCGGCCAGAAGATATTGCTAGTCAATACAATTTAATATTCGA